TCCTCCATAAGGTGCTCCTCCGCAAAGGTGGGGCTCACAATGAAAACTTCACCTCGGCGGCGGCGGCCGCACTTTTCCAAGAAGGCCTGGGCTCCCGACACAACAGCCTTTGCAAAGGCCTCCGGGTGGCAGCCAGGAAAATCCCCAAGCCGTTTCCAGACTCCTCGGGCACAAACGCCCCCAAGGCAAGGAGCATGACGGTGGCCACCAGGACATAGACGGGCCACTTTCTTAACGATCTCCCGCTGCGCGACAACTCGAAGAGGCATCCTCAGGAAAAGCGGCTCTTTGCGACCCCATTCTCCAGCAGGACGTTGGAGGCCATAGGCACACATCTCGACCTTCCCGCTGGCAAGGCCAGCCCAGGTATCCACCACCAAAGGTTCGTGCCAGGACCTGGAATGAAAGGGATTTTCGCCCAGCACGGCGCCGCCACGCCCCCGGTGCTCATGAACAAGTTGTTGCACCCAAGCCAACAAGCGACGGTGGCGCCAGAGCTCGGCCGTCTTGGCTTCAAAGTCCTCGCCCTCCTCCGGCTCAGTTTGCCAGTCAGGGGTCCACACCGAAGAAGGCCATGACACCACAAGAAGGTCAGGGTCGAACCGCCGAACATAATCGCAGGCATCGCGCTGGTGGCGGGCATCATAAACGTTCCAGTTGGGTGCGGCAATGGGCTCTCCAGCCTCCCAGCCACAAGCCACAGCCGTTAGGGAAATCACCATGCCCACGGAGAACACCTCCAAGATGCGCCAAGGACCGGGACGGCGAACATGTCGAGGCGGCTCAACAGGCTCTTTATCAGGAGGTCGGGCCGCCAACTTGCCGAACTCCTCCTTGATGCCCCTCTGGGCTTCCCGGGCTCTCTTTCGCAAAGCTTTGTGGAAAGAGCAAGGCTTACCACCCACATCGGGAACGAGCTCGGCCTCCGAACCTTCATCGTCATCCTCCTCCTGGCTGTCTGCCAAGACGCCAAACTCGTGGCTGGTCACGGAGTCAGTCTCGATGCCATCGTGGGGGCCGGCTCCTTCAGAGCCAGTATCCTGGGCGTCGGGGAGCTCCTTGATCACCTTCACGCCCAAGTCATTCTCCAGGGTGTCCAGCCACTCACGGTCTCGCTTGCGGCGGGCTTCCGCCCCAAAGTCGCCAAAGAACTCGTTCGGAGCCCGGTCGTCGGAGAAAGGAGCTTCCTCGAGCTGGTCCTCGAGCAAGACGACAGCATGGGCCGGAAAGGCAAAGCTATGCGGGCTGTGGCGCAACATCGCCCTCTTCTCGCTGAGTCCTTCCACTGCCCAAGGGTCACCGGCACCAGGGAAATCGACGATGGAAAGAGCGGGGTGCCTGGTGTGGGAGAGCACCATGTCCCAAGTTCGGCCGAGGATGCTCAAGGTCCGGCCGGCGAAATCAAAACACACCTTCCACCGCGCCAGCTCTGAAGGTCCAACCAGGCCCGGGCAGCCCCGGGCAGCACCAGCAACACAGGACATTCTCACTGCGTCCACCTGTCCATAGATGCCGGCCGGGTAGATGAAAGCCTGGGAGGACTTCTCGGGGTCCCCTGCTCCGAACTGGAAGGTCTCATCCTCGGCAACGTGATCCCCTTCTCGCGCAAGTGAGCCTGGAGAGACTCATGCCAGGTAACCCCTGCCACAGCCGTACGGCAGCCACTGTCGAGGATCACCTGGCCGACCGGTCCTGCAAAAGCAGCCAAAGTCACAGCTGGAGCCTGGGTGGTGCCCTCCAGCACCGAAGAAGCAAGCACACCATGGCGCTCCGAAAAGTAGAGCACATGCTTCAGATCGCAGGCCCGGCACCGTGCCCAATGTGCATGCTGGTTGCCGCTGAAGATGAGGTCCTCGAAACGGTGGGCACAGCGAGCTTGCGACACAGAGGCCATAGGTGATGCGGAAGACGGCTGCGTGCGGCGGCCGTTCCAGGAGCGCTGCCACAACTCGTGGCGAAACTCCTCCATTTCTCTTTGAAGCACAGCCTTTGCCTTGTCCCGGCCTCTAGCATCCTTCCGCGGCGGCAGGTGTAGTGCAGGAGGTGGCTGTGGAACCGGAGCACGAAGAGTGGCTGGCTCCGGCCAAGGAGTAGCAGTAGTCGAGGGAAGGCCGCGGGATTCATCCTGGTAGCCGGTCTTGCCCGGCATCATCGGTAGCTGACTGGGCTGCGATTGGCCTCCATCAGCACCTTCCTCCTCCTGAAGCCACCTTCTCAAGCTCTTCTTCTCCTCCTTCGTCATCGAGTCCACCGCCGCCAGAGCCTCAAGAGGGGAGAGCTTCACCTTGGCATCCCGGTCACGAGTCTTGCCCAAGGCCCTCTTCGGAACTTGCACATCATGCATGGGACGCGGTGGGCGGTCAGAAGACTCGGCGGCCCGCTCGCCACCAGAGGTCGCCACGTACAAGTCATCGTCGCCCTTCTCGCCCACCACCTGCCACTCACGCTTCGCCACGGCAGCCGGGGGCGAGCCTGCCACAAAGGTGAAGTTCACGAAGTTCACCGACTCCTCGCGCTTCTGGCCGGCCGGCTTGTGGAGAGGATCCTTGCCAGCCAAGACGTTCGGGCAGCAAGGATCCCCACGCCAGTGCCCAGTCTGGCCGCGCAGCTGGCGCAAGAAGAAGATTTCTTCTTGTCCGCAAAGACCTCGATGAGCTCGGTGTGCCCGGCCCGCTCGAAGGTCGACTCCATCCTCGGGCCTTTCGTTGGGCGGCCTGCTTCCCCTTTGCCTTCCATCCCGCAGCGAAGGCCTCCATCACGGTGTCGCCATCCACGGTGCCATCCTGGGAAGCAGCCTCCTCATCAGGAACCAGGTCCTCTTCATCGCCGGCTCGCCAAAGGGAGTTCCTCCTCAGCGCCGGCCTGGTCATCAAACTCGCCCTCAAAGCCCTCAAGCTGGTCCAGGTCCTCCTCCTCTATGTCTTCGAGGTCGCCGCCCGCCAGGTGCACAGCACTCTTCTTCCGGAAGCCAGGGCCACCCCCGCGACTGGTAGTAGAAGCCGGCCGCCGGAATGAGGAGGAAGATGCCGAACTCGCCGCCGTAGACCTGGTCGAAGGAGTAGTTGAGCGGCCTCCGGTGCCCGGGGCTGGAACACGCCGCTCCTCTTCATGAACCACAGCACACCGGTAGCGCAAGGCGGCCTCGATCTGGACAGGGTCGTAGCCACCGGCGCTGTAATACACATCAAGACGCTCGCGGCGGCTAAGGGAGGCACGATTCAAGAGCCGCTGCCCCCACGCTTTGGCACTCATCACTGACTCTGGGTCGACCCGGACGTACTGAGCCTTCAACCGCTTCATGCCCGCAACATAGCTTGCAATGGACTGGCCGGGCAACCTGCGGTACGCCTGCAACTCTCTCTCTGCCCTCTCGAACTGTTCGCTGCTGGTCTCGTCGTAGGACTCGTCCAGCAGCTTCCACAGCACAATGTCGCCCCCAGCACAAGTGTACTCCGAAAGCGCCAGCTGGTCCAAAACATCCCTGGCGTCGCCCTTGGTAGACAAATACACAAGCATCGTCACTTCGGCGGCCTCAAGCTGGTAGAGCTGGGTCTGGGCCTCAATGGCCCGCTTCCAAGACCGATAGCGCTTCCTGTCCCCATAGAACTCCTCTATCTTGACGCTGCCGATAGAGCTCTTCGGCCGCTGGTGTTCCCGAGCTCGCCGGCGCAGCAAAGACCTAAGTTCCGAAGTCCCGGCCGAGCTGGAAGGAGCAGCCGAGGGAGCCTTTGGGGATCCCGGTCCTGACGGCGGCTTGTCGCCACCTCCATCTGCGCCGCGCCCTCCTGAATCATCTTGGTCGCCACCAGGGGGAAGACCGCTGGGTTCAGGTAAGGGGCCGGGATCATCATGTGCACTTGCCCTCCCCGTCGGAGAGGTAGAAGACGAAGAAGAGGAAGATCCCGAAGAAGGTGGGCCAGCCGGCCCTGCAGCAACGCTCTGATGCCCAGTCGTCTCTAAGGGTGCACCTGCAGCAAAACCAGGTGGAGCATTCCATGCGGCCGCTGCACCCGAGCACGGGCCCATCATTGCCCAATAAGGGGGAACCTGCCACGACCAGGGAACTGGTAATCCAGAAGGTCCTGGCACGCACCCTTGAGCATTTCCAGCATGCGGAAGGCCTGCAGCAAGCCACCCAGGAGGAACAGCAGGAGGTAGAGCCGGAGCTGCCCCATGGCAACCAGCCCCCGCATCAGCAGGCACATTCCATGTCCCAGGTGGCGCCATCTGAGCAGCCGGGCCAGCACGCACAGGCCCATAAGTCACCGGAGGTCCCGTCGGAGCAATGCCGGCACCTTGGCTCAAAACGCTCCACGTCGAAGGCGGCGCTTCAGGAGAGCTATGGCTGCCCTCAGCTGGCCCTCCACTCCAAGGGTCACCTCCCGGCTGGTCCCACGGATCATCGTCGGGAACTGGTCGCAGCCAAGCTCCCTCATCGGCAACCACGTTCGCAGACATGGCTCCAGGCTACGGCAAGCAGAGCAGCCTACTCACCACTAAGCACTAAGGAACCGGTAGCAACCAGCTCCGCTACCAATATGGATCGGATAACCAACCCCAAGAAACCACAGCAGCAAGCAAAGCACGGCAGGCATTCTTTCGCGCAAGGCTAGCAACGTTGCTTCGAGAGTCGAGCGGGGCCGGGTTCCACAGGCTTGTCGAGGCTTCTGTGCACACACGACACTCGCCGCAGAAAGTCAATGCACATGCCCTCATGGTCTGATCTTCACAGTAAAAACCTGAAACCCTGAAAACCCTTCATCCTAAAACCCTAAGCCCTAAAGCCCTAATTAATCCTTAACCCTTAATCCTCAACCCTTAACCCTAAAACCCTAAACCCTAAAACCCTAAACCCTAAAACTTTTACCTCAACCCTAAACCCTAAAAGCCCTGATCCTTAACCCTTAATCCTCAACCCTTACCCTAAAACCCTAAACCCTACACCCTCAAAGCCCTAACCCCTAAAACAGTAAAAGCCCTAACCCCTAAAACCAAGCAGCCGCTTCGGATCGAAGTTCTTTGAGCTCTTTGGCCAAGCTCAAAGTCTGGCAGCAAGGAACGATTGATGTGGGAGTTTCCGACAATAGGGGACCCTAATATAGTACCCTAAATAGTAGGATCCTTATTATAAGGATCCCCAAAATGAGGTACCCCTATTTTCGGAAACTCCCATAAAAGTCCTGCATTACCCATAATAGGGAATATATGGGAATTATGGTATGTTCCTTATAATGGGTAATGCAGGATTTATATCATCAACCGAAGGATTCCTTTAAAGGGCTCCTTTGAGTTTCAGGTTAAGGGTTTAGGGCTAAGGGTTTCGGGTTAAGGGCTTCGGGTGGTTTAGGCTTTTGGGTTTCAGGGTTTAGGGTTCAAGGTTTAATAGGGTTTAGGGAGGGATTACCTTACAAGGGTTCCTTTAAGGGTGCTATCAGGCTGCCTTTACGAGTGCTATGAGGATTCTAAAGGGCTGCCCTCCCTCAAATGATTCAAGGAACGGTATTTTAGACCTCTGCAGTGCGCCCAGGGAACCATATTTTAGGACCCCCATAGTACCCCTTAAGCGGTTCGGGCTCCTGTATAGGGTTTAGGGCTTGGGGGGAAGAGTTCCTTTACGTGTGCAAGCAGGGCTCGATATGGATTGCATGAAGGTCCCGGGAAGGTGCCTTTCAGGGTTCCTTCAAGGGTGCTATCAGGTTTCTTGGAAAAGGTACTACAAGGGCACCCACCAACCCGGAAACCGAAAACGAGTGCATGAGAGATGCGACTCTGATTCACCGCCACTGCAAAAGAGGTGCAAATCACAACAGGAGAATATCTGCAACCGATATAGGCTCCAGGCTGGTCCTAACATCTACAGCATGGGGCTTGGGGGATGGAGATGCGCCAACCTCAAGAGGCTCCAACACTCACAGCCAACCTGAATCCTTAACTGTGTGGTTCTTAGGGAATGCGTTATGGAGACTATGACTGGGTATTTGAAAAAGGACTACTATAGGGATCCATATTCCCTACTGGGCACCAGACAATTCATCCGAAACATCCTCTGGGTCCGTGTCGTACCGCTCCGACTCTTCTTCCTCTGGCAAGGTCGAGTCGTCGCAAGGCTCCTCGTGGTACGGCTCGAGCGGCTCGTCGTTGTCTATGCGTTCCAGCCTCTGCTTGCTGCGTTCTCCCCTAAACTCCCTAAACCCTAAACCCTAAACCGTAAAAAAGCTTCTCGACGTACTCGAAGTCCTTCTTTCTCTGCGGCTCTTCAGCTCTTATCTGCGCCTTCGTCACAAACCGCGGTTTTCCGAACGGCTACGGGCTGGACATGGCTGAGTTGGGCCAGCTGAGAGAGACGTTACAATGTAGACTGAGATAAAAAAACTCGAGAGACCGCGCTTACTAGTACTTGCGGCCGCAATCAGAGTACCCTTCTCTCTCTCTCTCTCTCTCTCTCTCTCTCTCTCTCTCTCTCTCTCTCTCTCTATATATATATATATATATAGATAGCCACATACATAAGCTTCTAGCTGTGGATGTAAACCAACTGAATTGAAAACCGACTCGGCTATAACAATATACAATACGTGCCAGCAATAGACACTTCACAACAAACCTGCCAAAACATTGAAAACTTTATCACCTCTGCACTGAGAGCCCTGAACCCTAAACCCTGAACACCAACACACCAAACCTCCAAACCCCTAGACCCAAACTACTCCCAACCCCTGAACCCTAAACCCTAAACTCCCAAAAACCCGAAACCTAAACTCCCAAACCACCCAAAGCCTAAACTCTGAACTCCCAAACCCCTAGACCCTAAAACTCCCAAACCCCGAAACCAGGAACCCCGTAAACCCCGCGCAGCACTGAACCCTAAACCCTATATAAACTCTATTGTCCCCTAAACCCTAAAATCTAAACCCTAAACTCTATAGAACCCTAAACCCTAAAATCTAAACCCTAAACTCTATAGAACCCTAAACCCTAAAATCTAAACCCTAAGCTCTATAGAACCCTAAACCCTAAAACCGCCCTGCCGTCCGAGGCCTCCTCCGCATGCTGCGACTGCTTCCCATGCTCGGCCTGGCGGCTTCCGAATTACGGTGGATGATTGGACCAAGACCTGCAGGGTTTAGGGTTTAGGGTTTAGGGACCTGCTGATACAGGGACTTAGTAAGTAGGTTTTAGGGCTCTATTACGGTGGATGATTATAGGTTTCTAAATATGGACCACAAAAAGTAACTACTATGGAGCCTCTAGGTACCTTATCCCTGGCTCCTTAGCTCCTCCAATATCAATGGTTGGATGATTCTATAAATCCCTGGGGTTCCTCTAAAGGGATCTATAAGGGTGCCTTTAAGGGTTCCTTTAAGGGATCGAGAGGGGGGGTTAGGGTTGATGATTCTATAAACCCTGCATTACCCATAAGAAGGAATGTACCATAATTCCCGTAGTTGAGGGTCTTTAAGGTAATGCAGGATATATATATATATATATATATATATATATATGTATGTATGTATATGTAGATATCTCTCTCTCTCTCTCTCTCTCTCTCTCTCTCTTTCTCACCAACCGTGTGGTTGCTACCGCTCTCTTCATTTACTGCTGCTAGTACACAACAACAGCAACTACTGCTACTGCTACTGCTACTGCTACTGCTACTGCTACTGCTACTGCTACTGCTACTGCTACTGCTACTGCTACTGCTACTGCTACTGCTACTGCTGCTGCTGCTGCTGCTGCTGCTGCTACCACTATCTCTCTGTCATATTTGGTAACTAGTCTTTCACCGTGTCACGAGCACTCTTATGGCGAAAATCGAACTGATGCCATTCTTGTTCGCAATCTTGGGTCATTCACCTGGGTTTGGGGTGCAGATTTGCACATCCTGCAGGGCTTCGACCCCACGTCGAATCCTAGACATATACCCTTTCGGGCTATGGGTTTAGAGTGCAAGACTTGGACGTCTTTGGGTGTTGGGGCACAGATTTAAGATTCGGGGTTAATTAAGGGCTTTGAGGATTCAGAGCTGGTGGTTTCGGGCTTGGGGATTTAAGGTATAGCGTTCCTTGCGAGTCCCAGACCCCCAACGAGGCCCCAGTGTATCCGACGATGCGCAAGGGCCGACCTCGGCAGTCGCGCGCTTCTTTGCAGATGATGCCTCTTCCATCGCCGCCTACGTGACAGTTTGATGGGAGGCCAAAAGGGGGGTTTAAGATTCTTGGGGTAGGGGTTCTTTAATATGAACCCTATTATGGGAACCCTAACCCCTACTAAACCCCCATAGGCCAAAACATCTCCTGCACAACACAAGGGCACGGGCCTGCGCCACAAAAGTGAAGAACACGCACATTTAGATCATCCAAATGTGCATCTCCTTCCGCGTCCGAGCTGGAGCGAACTGTCGTCCATCCCCGGACCTCGTCGAGGAAATCCTGTCGTGACGCATAAGCCGTCGAGCGGGCATGGAATTTGTATACCTTGTGTCGCCCTGAACCCTAAACCCTAAAAAAGGTATACAGAAGCGGTAGTCCCCCGTGTCAGAGCGTCGGTCCCATTCACGTACTCGAAAGGCCCAACCGACACATGCTCCTGCTGCTCATCTCGCTGCGCTCGGAGGTCTGAATCGTCCCCGTTTGGCCTCCTATGTCAGTTTGTTAAGCAGTACATGGGGGCTTCTTTGAACTAGAGGGCTTCCTTGCTCATGGCACCTTGGAACGTGCTGGGAAACCCCAGTCCATACTGCCAATTAGGGTTTAGGGTTTAGGGTTTGGGGTTTAGGGTTTAGGGTTTGGGGTTTAGGGTTTGGGGTTTAGGGTTTAGGATTTTTTTTGGGGGTTTAGGGTTTGGGGTTAATGCTTTGAGTGAACTCTGCCTCTGTGGCCTGATATGTAGCATTGAGCTTCCATGCCAACTTCGATTCTCTTCTTGCTGCAAAGGAAGCGGATGCTTTGATCAGGCACATGCCGAGAGCCTAGAACCTTGAAAGTAAGAGATATACTGATAGACTTTGCTAGCCCTTACCTGCTTTGTTGGAGGCTTGGCCGGCTGAAACTCTGGACTCTAAACCTTCATTGTCCCCAATCACCCTAAACTCCCTAAACTTTAAACCCTAAACCCCAAACCCTAAACCCCTAAACCCTACACCCTAAACCCCCCCCCGGCTCCAAACGATAACGCCAAGGGCTCAACCACAGACCCTTTACTCAAGCCCCTACCCTGAGGACGAAATGAACCCTAAGAGGGTTTAAGGTTCATATACCATTATAGGGATTCATGGTATATGGGTTTGGGCCCCGTACTTTTAAGGGTCATTTGGTCCTTCAGGTAGAGCCGAAACCCGAGCTCCAACCTCCAAAAACGCCGCAGGCACCGAAATCGTGTAGGGGCCTTGAGTAAGTAGACTGGGCTTCTGTGCTCTTTGATAGTATGATTACTACAGAAAGAAGGAACCCTAAGGAATGATATGGGGTACCTCATTTCGGGTCCCTAAAACAAGGATACTACTATTTAGGGTACCATATTAGGGTCCCCTGTTTTCGGAAACTCCCATATTGGTAGCTGTTTTGGCTTCTATTTTAGACTAGTATCATATACCCCAAAACCTCCACAGTTCCCGATTTCCGCCTCCTCCTGAAGAGCCCACTGCTCCTCGTAGCTTGGATGCGTGGTGGTTAGACGAGTGGGATTACCTATAACTATAGTCTCCGTTGTGGTTCCTTCTTGGGCCAGATTCTTGGGGTTATACCTTATAGTATCCTACGTATAAAATGGGTTAAACCAAAAAACCGAACCACAATGGCTTTAGTTAGGCTGATGAAAGCAATGCAGTGTCTCAAGATGGGATATGCGCAGGTTATCTGAAGGTCAAATTTCTGTTTATCCTGGCCATGTCGTAGAGTTGTGCCGACTTGCCAGCACACGTGGAAACAGCCCTGGGCACGCGGGAGGTTGTGCCCAGACGCAGCGCAGCCGAACAGAACCGAATAATAACAGCAACGGAAAAAGCCTAGAACAATACCAATAACAACAATTATGGTAACAATAGGAATCTGGGTCTTACAGCTGACTGCTTTCATCCATACGATATCCTGTCCTAAGCCCCAAAGAATCAACAAGGAGTGATGACGGCTCATACTATTCATTCAGAACCGCCATATTTTCACGGCCGCAAGCCCACAAGTGAAGGCCGGGGGCGGAGAGCTTCTTCCCAAGGAGCCCAGTTCCCTATCTTATAGCGGGAGAACCTATGCAAGTCTGGGGGTTCCTTGCTGTCGTTGGTGGTTGTTGCTAGTTACTAGTTGCTGAAACCGTTGAAGAACGTGTGCTGAGAAGTGCTGTAGTGACGGCATGAAAAAGAACCAAGACTACCTGCTCATGTAACTACACTCCTTGCAAGCACGCAGGAGCACCCTTGAACAACTGAGAAGCTCTTGAAGCAGAAAAACATAATGCCAGAACCTCACAGCACAAATCCCCGAATGAGCAAAAAAGCAATCCGCTGCAGCGGCACACACCCATCCTGCTTCTCAAGCTTCGCAGTCAGCTCCTGAGACTCTCTCTTCCATGTGGCCACCTGCAGGACTGTGTATTCGTGTGAAGGGCCTTAAACCCTAAGTTCGAGACTGTTGGCAATTCCTAGGGTTTCGAAGTGTGGTGTGTTACCCTGTTTAAGGGTGCGCAAACTTTTTAAAGGGGTAGTTAGCTGTTTGGGATGTCCGGTTTTCCAACATCACAGTTAAACGCATATAAGAGTGGATACCTAGCCTGGAGAAACCTATGGCTCATCAAACACCTACAGACACCCCAGCAAATCCAGCCACAATCCGATAGTGTCCGCACCTCTGCTCGTGCGAAAGCGACCTCCGTGGTGCCAAAGGACCTGTGCTACCGTCTCGCTTACTGTAAGCATCCGAAGCTCGGTTTTGGGTTTCGGGTTTAGGGCTTGGGTTGCACACCTGAATAACTGATGGTTTTAAAGACCTAGTCTTCTTGGAGATACCGGCCACATCCCACAACCGTAAATGAGGACTGCCTGAGCAGTATAGGAACAGAATTCCCTAAACCCTAAACCCCAACATTCCTCGTAGCCCTGACACTAAGAAGGATTCTGGCTGAAAACTGGCCCCAAAGTCTTGTGCAAAACGAATCAGGGACGGGGGTCTGGGTAAAGGGTACTTGGGGGTGCTGGAAGGGCCGAACTCTCAACCGAGGCGCATGGCTGCTCTCTGCTCCGCTGCCTCGAGAGCGAGCTCCTCGGTGGCTCCGGGCTCCATGGGCCCAGCGTCAGAACTCTCAAAGCTGGGTTCGGGTTTAGGGTTTTAGAGTTTTAGGGTTTAGGGGTTATGGTTTCGGGTTTTAGGGTTATAGAGCTTTAGGGTTTATGGGGTTTTAGAGTTTTAGGGTTTAGGGGGTATGGTTTCGGGTTTTAGGGTTATAGAGCTTTAGGGTTTATGGGGTTTTAGAGTTTTAGGGTTTAGGGGTTATGGTTTCGGGTTTTAGGGTTATAGAGCTTTAGGGTTTATAGGGTTGTAGAGTTTTAGGGTTTGGGGGGTTATGGTTTCGGGTTTTAGGGTTATAGAGTTTTAGGGTTTAGGGGTTCTGGTTTCGGGATTGAAGGTTATAGAGTTTTAGGGTTTAGGGGTTATGGTTTCGGGATTGAAGGTTATAGAGTTTTAGGGTTTAGGGGTTCTGGTTTCGGGATTGAAGGTTATAGAGTTTTAGGGTTTAGGGGTTATGGTTTCGGGATTGAAGGTTATAGAGTTTTAGGGTTTAGGGGTTCGGGATTGAAGGTTATAGAGTTTTAGGGTTTAGGGGTTATGGTTTCGGGATTGAAGGTTATAGAGTTTTAGGGTTTAGGGGTTATGGTTTCGGGATTGAAGGTTATAGAGTTTTAGGGTTTAGGGATACTTGGGTCTCGAAGCTCACTGGTGGCCCAAAACTAACGGGCTGGAGGCAAAAGAGTACCCAGGGAGTCCCTTTCCTGAGTCCTTTTCCGGCTAACTTCATCCCCACTAAAGACTCAAACCTCCATAGAATCAACGCAGCTTAGCCTCCTATGAGCGTTCAAAGGTACAGGATTTGGGCGAGTATAAGACTCCAGCAAAAAAGCTTGAATAAACCCTAGTACAACCCAGAGACCTCACACTACAAGACCTGGTACAACCTGAATAGATTGTAAGAAATGTGATAAAGACCTGAATCATCGTCCACTCTTGCCGCCTGAAGTCGTGGTTCTGCATCTGCAGGGCCTCTACGTGGAGCTGGTCATCGTCCATGGCTTTGCGGAGGGTCTTCACCTGCAGGGGACTTGGTAAGGAGAGCTCAACAAGTAACATCTTACTGAAAGGACTGGGGTTATAAATAAGGTAACTACACTTATAACCACTTATAAGCCCACTTAGGGTACTTATAACCTGACTTACTAAGCTCCAGGATCCACCAAGTAAGGTCTTATGTTGACAGTCCTGAGATTCCAGAGAAGGTCGGCTGCCCAAAATCCCGCCGAAAAAATCTGAAACCACAACAACGTTGGCGTTTCCGCAAATTAGGGGTACCGTATTTTGGGGTCCCTATTTTAAGCATCCTATTATTCAGCGTACTAGACTAAGGGTCCCTATTTTCGGCAACTCCCACACGCAAAAAACGCGGATGTACTAAAGCCGTACGGCAATTCTAATTTACTTTACCCACGCGGCAGCTGCAACTAAGACGAAAAGCATGCGCAAAACCACAAACTGCGAGACCCAAACTCCACACCCCTAAACGGCAGACCCCACTCCACCACCACCTCCCAACAAAAAAACAAAACAGCCAAGCCATCAGCCATCTATGCCTGGTCCAAAGCTGGCGCCAGCTCACACCTGCGTTCGCGAGGGGCCAGCGTAAAGAATCAGGGGTTAAATTGGGATGTCATGGGGTTGATAGGGCGTTTAAAAGCTATTTTCCGGAAGTTTCGAGTTCGGGTCTAGCTACTTAGATGATGAACGAGGACTTCGCAGGTAAGGTTGGTATACTTATAACAACACATGCTAAGTGCAGTGATCCTTTAAGAACAGTTCTGTCTATCCCTTTTTCTATCACAGTCCAATGGCAAGGGTGTATTAGTTCGTAGACTACTAGACAAGCTATTGGCAACAGGGATTTGCCTACGCTTACCGCCTAAACCCTGACTAAACCGCTAAGCCCTGAAGAAACCCTGAACCAACCTAAACCCTAACCGAAACCCCAAAGCCTAAACCACCGACGTTGGGTCGGGGCTCTGGGCCGGAAGTCTCTAGAGAATGAGAGCCCCGCAACAACACCCACATTCTTGCGAGTAGGATCATTCCTGTACTTAGGCTTTAGGGTTTAGGGTCTTGTTGAAATGAAGGGGATCCATTTTCTTAACTAGGGTTTAGGGTTCAAGGTCCTAGGGATATTAGCTCCGAAATTCTATGTAATGGCTTCTTTCGAAAGTACCCGCCTCCTCCAGGAATCTTGGAGCCATGCCGCCACGCTCTCCTCGCGCAGGGGCTGGAGCTAAAGTTTGCCTTGACCTGAAATAAGGCGAGGACTGCTAACCCCTAACACTAAATCCCGCGGCTTCCCCTCACTCTAGAATGAGACATGCAGGCCCCATCGCCTCAATACGCTGTATGGGCTTGAGGGACATCTTACACATTCATGTCCTCGCTCCTTAAGCTGAAGTAGCACAAGTCAAGCTCCCTTCGCCAATGTGTGTGAGGGTCGAAGTTTCAATGGATTCTGACTTGTTGATTATATGCTTAGGGCTTTGGCTGTGCTTTCTCACGGGTAAGCATGAATGTTGCAGGCCTTTGCAAAGCCCAGCTCGAGTTCATCAACCCTACATCCTGTAAACCCGAGGCCATTTTGCCCGGGCCTGGAATCCTAAACTCTAAACCCTAAACTGAACTCTAAACCCTATAAGCCTATAAACCCCAAACCGTCAAACTCTAAACCCTAAAACCCTAAACTCTGAACCGTCAAACTCTAAACCTTGTAAACCCTAAACTCTGAACCGTCAAGCTCTAAACATACACCTCCTAAGGGGTCCTGCTGCTGCCGATCGCAGGTTAGCCGGGTGCAGTGCTGCTCACACTCCAGGAGCTGCTCCTGGGCGTGGAGCCCGGAGACTCCAATGCCCCTTAATTAGGGAATATTCCTTAAATCAGATTAAGGATCCTACGATAATTTAAGGTATATTCCTTAATTAAGGGATATTGGAGTCTCTGGGAGGGCCCGGTCCCGGCTTCTTGGGACTTAGGTTTAGGGTTTAGTTAGGGTTTAGGGTTTAGGGTTTAGGGTTAGGGTTTAGTTAGGGTTTAGGGTTTAGGGTGCTTTAGGTTTCGGGCTTGGGCTCAGGGTTTGGGGTTTGGGGTTTCAGGTATACAATTATTGGTAACGATTTCGTTCTGGGGTTTAGGGTTTTTCGGATTAGGGGCTGACTGGAAGCCCACCCAGAGACTCCAATATCCCTTAAATTAAGGAATATACATTAAAGCATATAAGGGATCCTACCATAATTTAAGGAACATTCCTTAATTAAGGGATATTGGAGTCTCTGGGAATAAACGACCTTACCTTTCGTCTCCATTGTAATTCCTTTTTTGGGGTTACCTTATAATAGGATCCTAAATGCAAAATGGGCTAAGCCAACAACAGGGAACAACAAGGGGGTTTCCGAAAATAGGGGACCCTAATATAGCACCCTAAATAGTAGGATCCTTATTATAAGGACCCCAAGAGAAGGTACCCCTATTTTCGGAAACTCCCAGAATGGAGACGGTAGGTATTGTGAAGAAACGACCCTCGGTCCTGGCCCGAGTCCTGGCTAGCGGTAATATAGGGCGGTTTAGGGTTTAGGGTTTAGGGTTAGGGGCCTGAATAATTAGAAGAGGGTGTTGGAGCCCAATAAACTATAGGTGTAATAAGGACCCCCCAAAATAGTAGAGGTAATTATTGAGGCCCCTATAGTATCGATTAACCTCTCCTTCTGCGAGCCCTTGAAGTGCTCACTTCACCGAGCCAGACAAGGACATAAACTGAAGGCGCGGGGAGGGGCTACTAAAAACCCTTAAGCCCCAAACCCGCAGAGCCCAAACGAGACCCTGAACCCTAAACCCTAAACCCTAATCCCTAAACCCTAAACCCTAACCCCTAACCCCTAAACCCTAAACCCTAAACCCTTAAGCCCCAAACTCGCAGAGCCCCAATCGAGAGCGCCAAGAAGCTCCCAGCGCGAATCGCAGATTCCGCTGCTCATGGTCTGCTTCCTGGGAGTCTACTTGGGGCTTAGGGCGTTGTTTTGTGGTTTTTATGGCTTGGTTTTGGGATTGTTGTAGGGCTTCAAAGGTGACTGTTTAGAGTATTTTTAGAGTGTAAAGTGTAATGGGCCTATACGGAGGGACGTGGAGGTTTCAGTATTGAGCCCTCGGTTCAGAGCTCAAGGTGGTCTTCAACTTTCGATTGTAGATGAAAGTTTGCAGTTTGTCCGAGCTTTAGGCTTCAGCGACCAGAGTATTCAGCATTAAGTTTAAGACAAAGGGTTGAAGTCTGGGTCTAAACCCCCAGCATACCCACAGTGGTAGCAGTTGGAAGGAGCATGAAGGGAATATGAACTTAGGGGCCCAGTTCCCTAGCACAAAAAAGGTGTACTGTTTCAATTATGGTAGAATTATATGAACCTCCAAAAGTAAAAGGTTACCTAATTACTCAGCTACTGAATGAACGGAGCTGTAAGTCATGCTTGCCAATCCCTAAATTTTATGCTGCAATTTGGAGCTCTGGGTTGGGAGCGTGGAGGGTAACTAACCAGTGGTCTGGGGGTTCCCTTGGCTCTTTAGCTCCTTATTTGGAAGGGATTACCATGTCATCCCTGGCTCCAAAGCTCCTCCAATATCAATGGTTAGGTAAGCCTAAGGAATCCCAGCCCTGGTTTGAGAGTTGCGGTTTCAGGTTCCAGGTAGGGTTTAGGGGCTCAGACAGTGACATGCTTAGCAGCACCTAGCCCTAAGGGTCCAATATGTTTGGTCTTAAAGTAGTCCCAATATAGGTACTTTAGGGCCAAAGTATATACTAGTTGGGCACCTGGACCCTTAGCAGAAGCCAGGGCAAAACTCGGCAAACAGAACGTCAAAGCCTGAAGCCCTACCAAACCCTGTTGAGCCCTGTGAACAACAGCTAAGCCCTACAGAAGCTTTTAACAACTCCTTAAAGCCCCATAAACGCCCATGTAGAAGCCCGAGTAGAAGAAGCGCCCCAACCCCTCGAAGATCCCGATAACGGCCCGGCAAAACCCGATGAGTTCCTCTAACACCTCATACGAGCCTGTCCTAAACCGTCTTGGAGCTAAGGAGTCTCTTGAACCCTCCCAGCTACCCTTCCGCTGCTTCTGCCAAGGAGCTGTGCTGGCCAGCTGCAGCTCAGTCCTTCAACTCAGTCTTTGGGGTTGAGGGTTTAGGGCTGGGAGGTTTGGGGCTGAGAGCTAGCAGGTGTAGGGGTTTGGGCTAGGAGGTTTAGGGTTTGGGGTTTAGCCCAATGAACCCCTACTCTGAACCCCTACTCCCTTTGTGTGTCCGTGAGTACTGTCTTGTTTGGGGTACTTAGAATGAAACCGTTACATGTCTGCTTCAGAGAACGACAGAAAACATGAGAGAGGAAGAGAGAAACTGAAGGAAGGAATCATGTGTTGTCCATGCTCCACAGTGAGTCCGCTCATAAACCAAAGTCTCAGACAGAGCCTCTTTTCAGGCTCACACAAGGCCCTTGTTGGAAACACACACACACACACAGACAGACAGAGCGCCTCTTTCTTTCTCCGGGACTAGGGGTGAGGTTTCTCCCTCCTTCCCTCCCTCCCCCCTACTCAAACATGTGCGTTTCAAATTTCGGTGATGATACCAAGTGAATTTCCGGAAGAATTATGGTTAAATTAGTGGATTGCTTAATACACCGGGGAAGCGATTACTCTGCAGTGGGTTGGTGTTCCTTAAACCCTATACAAACCCTAGAGTGCCCATAGTCCAGTCACCCACTCATCAACCCGGTGGACTGTTCCGGAAGATCTATCTTTAGTCTCCATTGTAGTTCCCTTTTTGGTTGAAGCAGTTGTACATTTAGGATCTTCCCAAAAAGGAACTACAATGGAGACTATAGGTATATGGGAGTTTCCGAAAATAGGGGACCCTAATATGGTACCCCAAATAGTAGGATCCTCATTATCAGGACCCCAAAATAAGGTACCCCTAATTTCGGAAACTCCCATATAAGCCTGACGATGCCCAGAACTTCGCAAGTCCTGCGACTGCTGTTACGGCAGTTCAAGGGCTATAGTAGGGACCCTAAATCCTAAACCGTACTTGGAGGTTCATGGGTAGTTATAAGTAGGGTTATAAGTCCCCTGATATGGATTATAAGTATAGTTACCCTACTTATGACCCTACTTATAACTACCCTCCAAGTAGGGTATTGGGGTCATGCCTGGAGCCGGGGCGCACATGATTCGTGTCCAACTCATGCTTTTGGCGCTTCTGGTTCAGACAAAACGTGCGTTTTGGGGTGTAAGGCTTTGGGAAAGGCAAGGAATATACACAAAGTGTATAGTATATGTCCTAAACCCCCAACAGCCAAACCCTAAACCCTAAACCCCACGCCCCAAAATCCGAAAGTACAAGCCAGAAAGTTGGAACGGTACTATCCTCATGCCTTTAAGGTAAAGTATAGGGAATCCTAACACCAATGCTCCTAAACCCATGTTCCAACTTTCTGGGGGTCACTGTAACAGGGCCCAAAAAAAGCACATAAGCCAACATTCGGATAGGGATATCCCATATAAACCCCCTTGTAATGAAGCCCAATAAGGTATTGATATCCCTAAAAAGTGCTTATGCTTATGTGCTTTTGGGGGTCCCTAATTAAACCCTAAACCCTGGGCCCCCAAACCTCTAAACCCTAAGCCTCCAAACCCCTAAACCCTGGGCCCCCAAACCTCTAAACCCTAAGCCTCCAAACCCCTAAACCCTGGGCCCCCAAACCTCTAAACCCTATGACCCCAAACCCCTAAACCCTGGGCCCCCAAACCTCTAAACCCTAAGCCTCCAAACCCCTAAACCCTGGGCCCCCAAACCTCTAAACCCTATGACCCCAAACCCCTAAACCCTGGGCCCCCAAACCTCTAAACCCTAAGCCTCCAAACCCCTAAACCCTGGGCCCCCAAACCTCTAAACCCTATGACCCCAAACCCCTAAACCCTGGGCCCCAAAACCCCTAAACCCTAAGCCTCCAAACCCCTAAACCCTGGGCCCCCCAACCCCTAAACCCTGGGCCCCCCCTTCGCGCCTGGAGGCCAGCAGCTCCTCCTGCACCCCTCGGATCTGGGCCGCGGACTCCGCCAGCTCCTCTCGTCGGGTTCACGGCTGAAAGGGCCTCAAGGGTCCTAGGGTTTGCCCTTAAGGGCTTCGGTTTTACCCGTACTAGTAAGGGCCTAGGGTTATAGGGTTTACCCTTAAGGGCTTCTATAAATTCTAGAGAGATGACCCTAGACCCTGAACACTGTAGAGATCACCCTAAGGGTTCATATGGGAGTTTCCGAAAATTAGGGGTACCCTATTTTGGGTCCTTATAATAAGGATCCTACTATTTAGGGGAACCATATGAGGGTCCCCTATATTCGGAAACTCCCACCCTAAACCCTAAACCCTAAACCCTAGACCCTGAACACTGTAGAGATCACCCTAAGGGTTCATATAGGGACTATGACTACGAGTACTCTGCGGGTTTAAGCCCTCAGGGCTTCGGCTCGGAGCTTGGGGCCTTTTGGGGTTCGGTGCAGCTCGGGGGACATAGGGTTGATGGTCCTAGGGGTCCTTTAAAGGGGTCCTTTAAAGGGATCTATAAGGGAACCTTTAAGGGGTTCCTTTAAGGGATCTATAGGTGGGTTTAGGGTTTAGGGATATAAATCCTGCAGTACCCATGCTAAGGAATACTCCATAATTCCTATAGTTTAGGGTCCTTAAGGTCATGCGGGATTTTTTTTATCATCAACTGTAGGGTTTAGGGTTTTTGCATGGGCTCCGTGGCTACGGGATGCATGAACGAAGAAGTCGACGAGGCTAGGACTGACTGTTGATTCTTCCCAACAAAGAACCCAGCGCCTCAAACGTTCCGGAAGCTTCCTGGGTTGGCTTCTAAACACCCTGAAAAATATTTATATATAAGGTCCCTTATAAACCCAAATAAGGAAAATAAAAAATGTCCCAAAATCCAACCTAGCTTCTTAAGACTAGCATGGGGAGCCCGTTTTTCGGGGTCCTGATAACAGCAGACTTGCACACTCGAGACTAGAGACCCTACTAGGGACCCCCAAAAGCACATAAGCATAAGCATTTGATAGGGATATCCCTACCTTATTGGGCTTCATTATAAGGGGGTTTATATGGGATATCCCTATCCTAATTTTTGCTTATGTGCTTTTTTGGGGCCCTACCTGCAGCACATCAACCCCACGGCACGCGAGGATCTTCCTCAAACCCACAACTCGTGGCGCTCACAGTTTTGTACCAGAAACTTTGCGCTCACAGTTTTGTACCAGAAACTTTCGACTTCCCACAACAGCTCAACAACTGGAACCGCGCTTAGGGTTTAGGGTTTAGGGCTAAGGGTTTCGGGTTGAGGGTTTAGGGTTTTCGATTTGGGCTGTTGGCTTTGCAGACTTAGAGTCACTCGAACATACAGCCGGACCACGAGCTTGAAACGTTGCCTGACCAAGCCATGCTTCCAACATCAAAAAACCAACAACAACCAGGGACCAACTCGGCTCCTGAGTAGCCTCTTTGTGACAAGGGTAGCCGTTTTGCTGCTATTCGGTTTACTAAGGGGGCCGAAAAAGAAAAATGGCAAAAGGTTACTACTCAGGAACCTAGCCAAGGTTTCTGGCACGGGGGGTAGGGGGAAGGAGGAATCATCAGGGGAGAAGGCGAAGTCTTTCGGGATTTCGAGCTTTTAAAGGGAACTCCAGAAAGTTGGAATATGGATTAATGGTGGGATCCCCTATAATTTACCTTGAAGGGGTTAGGATAATGATATTCCAACTTTCTGGCTTTTACTTTAGGCTGGGGTGGGTAGGCTTCCGGGCTTACAACTGCGAACGGTGGGCATGCGGATTTGGAGGCTCTCCTCATGCAGGTTTTCCGTGCGCTTCTGCTCTTGGCTGTACTCCTGGGCTTTGAAGATCATTTGGCGGGGGAAGTGGGGGCCTTAATGATTTTCAAAGGGTCTCTCCGAAGGGCTCCTTCAGCGGATCTTGGGGCCGTTTGATTGAAAATGATGTTGTGCCATATTTTCTATAGTTGCTCTGTCAGGGAACCCACAGGAACAATCTGGTATCTGTGTGTGCGTGTGTGACTGCGTGTGCGCTCGAAACGGTTGTTTTTTGCTCATGCCTGCGTCATGACCAAGGGTTTAGGGTTTGGGGGTTCAGGTCAGGATGTCGGGCTAAGGGCACGGGCCTCTCTTTTCGTTTCGTCGGCACATACTTATTTCAACCACCATCTGACATTTCCATCCCGACTCCCAAAAAAACGAAGAACCGTCGCAGCCCCAAACTTCGCTTTGCTCTAGTCAGTGGCCTCAAGTCTGCAGGAACATGATGATGGCATTCTTGTGACTCCGAAGCGCATGATAAAAATTTAACTGAAGGCTGTTGAAGAGAGAACCTAGAAAATTGCTCGTAAACTCAAACTGTCAACGACACCATGACAGTCAACCTCAGACCCTCAACCCTGAAAGGCACAACCAAAGAACTCTGAATCTCAAACACGGGTTTTGAAAAACTCACGGGAAACCCCAAAACCTCTAAAGCCCAAAAGCCCTAAACCCTAAAGTTCTGGACCAACACCACGTCTGCAAAGAGCCCGCTGCATCCTTTGAACTTTAAGCCCCATCCTCTACTCCGGTGTACTGTAGTGGCCTTAATAATTTAGAACAGGGTTTTGGGGCCCATGATACTTTCACTGTAAAATGAAACGCTCAGAATAGTATTGGTAATTATTTAAGCCCCTAATATAGAACCCTACTACAGACCCCTTATATGTGCCCGCGCTCCGCGTTCTCGACCCCCCCCCCCCCAATGGTATCCCCCCCCCCCCGACCCGGGCGACCACACAACAAGAACAAGAACAAGAACAAGAAGAAGAACAGCAGCAACAACAAAGCAGCAGCAACCACGCGGAGGAACCACAGGAACCACAGGGGGGGAGGGGGGAGACAGGAACCAGAAGAACCACAAAAGGGAGGGGGAAAACCAAGAGGAACCACAGGGGGGGGGGGAACCACAGGAACCACAGGGGGGGGGAGGGGGATTACCATGGGGGGGGGAGGGGGGGGGGGGGGTGCGCGGATGCTGGCACATATAGACCTCTTTAAGAATCCCTTTAGACGGAACCCTAGGTGCCCACTTTTTTCTTCTGTCATCCCAAGGCTCGAATGCTGCTTGTGAGGCCTGACGATGATCAGCTTAGGTCGTTTGAACGGTTGAGGTTGAGGTACTGTAGGGCTAAGATCAAGTGCCTAACATATGGGTAGTTGTCAAAAATAAGTTCGCTTTTTGGGCACCCTATATATTAGGTGCCGTATTATAATACGGAACCAAAATGGGACCATGATTTTGACAACAACCCATATCCATATTACCAGGATTATGCAACCGTTACTGAGTGGAGGCAGTACCCAAGGTTGAGGCACCAGGAATTGTATCAAGAGATGGCTTCTCGAGGGCACTGCAGTCGACTTGAAGAATACGAAAGATGACGCTCCGTCCCTGCAATCACGGTGCAGGGTTTGTTCAGGGTTTTAAAGATTTGAAGAGGTTCAGGATGTAGGAAAGTGTTTGGGCTTGGTCATGTAAGAGCCTCTGAATCCGAACTCCACCCGCTAGGGACTGGTCCATAGCCATATTTCAGAACCACTAAACACGAATCAAATTAATGCACCCCTGACCTGCGAACTTTGAGATTTTCAATTTAATCCTGCAGTCTGAACCTCAACAGAGCCTCCAAAATCTTGACAACGCACGCATGAGGATCAACCACGCCTAAAAACCCAGCACTGTAGTGATGTAGTGCGTTTCAGATATTTGTGCACGTTTGCGTACTTACTCTCAGTCCAAGTTATGGCAAACGTCCTAAACAAACATCCCCAAACAGCATCCGAAGTCTGCACAATACCGTCCAGAACCCATCATTGGAACACCCACCCCCAAACCCTAAACCCCAAACCCACAACACTGAACCCTAAACCCTGAACCCGAAAGCCCTAGAGCCCCCAGCCCAAACGCCAGACGCGCCTGGATCCGAGTCTGCTCCATCAGAGCCTGTGTCTGAGTACCTGAGTCTAGCTCTCGGCCTTTTGAACGGTATTTTTGTGTTTTAAGCTCCTTTTTGATGTGTCAAAAAGTTTAGGGTTTAGGACGTAGTCTCAAATTGCTAAAGTGATGGATTTTTAGGGTTTAGGATTTAGTCTCAAAGGGCTAAAGTGCTTTTATGGATTTAAGCTTATCAAAAAGCTCCCTTGTCGTTTGTGGCTTGGCGGGGTTGGCAAATTGGGAGTTCTGAACTGCTGAGAGCTGAGTCTCAAAGCTTGGGGATTTCGGCACTATCATCCTAGTTTCAGAGCGGAAGTTTCGGGTGTCTACCTGGACCCTAGAAAACCTACCTTTGCAAGGATATCACAGCAAGAAACCCCCGAGAGGTAGATTCTCTAGGACTCAAGTACCTGGACCCTGAGGAACCTGCCTTTTTAGACCCCCCTGATATGATTTCGTTTTACATAAGTCCTCAAAAAGGGTAGGTTATTTGGGGTTAAGGTAAGCATAGGCTGGGCTGCGCAGAAGCTCCACCCTCTGCTCCGCCGCACGGGAGATCGCCTCCCCGCGGTCCTCGCTACTGAGGTCAGAATTGTAATGTACAGATGTTCTGAGACAGTGCTGATGGACAAAATCCTGCATTACGCATTATAAGGAATGTACCATAGTTCCCATAGTTTAGAGTCCTTAAGGTCATGCAGGATTTTGTCCATCAGCACTATCTTTTCTCTTTGTTGTTTAGCTCCTCTTCTACTGGAGCGCTTTCGGGCTACTTAGACATTGGGGCTTTGGGCTTGGGGCTTCCGGTCTGGAGCTTCATTTACAACCTCAACTGTAGCTCCCCAGATGGTCAACCCCAATAAACAGTCATGTGGGACGGTATAGGCAAAAGCCGCGCACACGCACACAAACTCTACTGGCTAGTTGCAGCGTTGTTGGGATTGAGCCGACGGGTTTGAGAATCTCTTGACGAGCCCAAAGGTCCGGGGCTTTCTGGCTCCTAGGTTCGGTACGACAGAACAGAGGCACCAGGAGGAGCGGGATCACGCCTGTTGTGCATCTTAGTCTTGGGCAAAAAGGCTGGCCAAGAACGGGCGTTGTTGGCATCAGGTCCATCTCTTCTTCTTCCTAAGACCTGGGGAGTTTCGTCGAAGTTTCGTTTTGGGCTCAGGGGTTCTGTGCATCTGGTCGAAGGTTGGCGTGTTAAGGTGAGGATTTGGTGCTTCATTTTTCTAGTTGGGGGGGGTTCTAGTTGGGGGGCTTCAGACTCGGTCGGTCGGTTCATAGCATGCATGCCCCGTCAATGAGGGTGCAAAGATTTGGGTTTCTGACCGGAAGAAGACATGTGCATTTTTTCAACAGCCGATGGATCTCTGCCATTCCCTCATCTTGACCCCTTAGCACTTTAGCCACATGTCCTGTTCTACACTTTCTTAAACCCCAAACGCCTAAGCTGATAAGAACTCCACACTCTCTCCCCTGGAAGCCTCAACCCCAACCCCAGCCACAAAGCAGTCCTTCTCCATGCGCACCTCGGACTCTCTGTCCTGCAAAGTGGGAGCTCACCTGACTTTCTACACCGAAACCTGCTCCCGCTCGCTTCGCCTGAGCTGTATGCAGGGCTTATGCACCAGATGACGCAAACAGCGGGGTTTCTGTGCTCGTCATTGTACTAATGTACGAGTACTAGTCTGGCCTGAATCTTACTATAATAACCCCAAACCCCTATTCTAATTCTGAACGCTCTCAGCGTGTTTTCAAGGGCCGCTGGGTGCCTTGGCTCGGAGCAATCCATGGGAGCCGAGAACCAAACTGGCACCCCGAAGAGAAGCCACTGAACCTAAAGGATCTAGGGTTCCTTAAAAGGGATCCATAAGGGCTCCCTTTAAAGGGATCTATAAGGGTTCTATAAGGGGTTTATTTAAAGGATCTGGGGACTTAGTAAATGGGGTCATAAATAAGGTAACTATACTGCCCACTTAAGGTACTTATAACCTGACTTACTAACCCCCATGATCCTCCAAGTAAACCCATGAAGCCCGAAACAATGATCCACCCACGAAACCTAAACCCCGAACCGAAAACCCAAAGACCCACACCCGAAGCCATTCTGGAAGGTGAGTCCATTCGTGACACTGCACATGTGGGCTAAGGGATCGGATTTAAGTTTAAGGATGTTTTCTTTCAGGTTTCTTGCCAAATTGGGGCAGCCGGGGCTTAGGGTCTCTGACCGGGCTTGACGGGGATTCTATAAGGCTTATCATAAAACTTTACAAGACTTCTGTGATCGTCCATGGCGTACGAAGTTTACAGCGAAGTCAAGTCGACGATAAACCGTCGAATCCCGCCCCAGAAGTTATGTTTAGCCCTGAATCAAAGGGGAAAGGGAGGGACCCTTGATGAGGACCCCTACTCTATAATGGGTTATATAATGGGTATATAATAGCTATACCAAGGGTATATACCTAGGGGTCCTTGTTAAGGCTCCCTCCTTTTACCCTTGGACTGAAGTGAAGCAGTCCCGCAGGCTGGCATAGGCTTGCTGCAACTCTCCGTGCAGGACGTATTCCTGCGCTAGTACTATCACAACCGCAAACCAGGAAAACTGCCGATGCAGTTGAGATTTATACAGTTTTGCAGCAATGATAGGTCAGATTGCCGATTGCCTTCCTGAATGCATCTGCACAATTTACGACAAATCGAACCGGTTGTTGCTGTTCAGCACTTCTTGGCACCGCCGCAAACTTTTTGCACTAAAAAACAGACATAGCTGACATCACCTGAACAGAAAAGCACGCAAAGACCATGCAAACATCCTGCAATTAAGGGCTGTAGGGCATTTGCAATTCGCGTATTGAAGCTTGCAGAAGCAGTGAGGCAATCGGAAGTAAACCTTCTACAACATTGGTACTACATGCTCCAAGTCACAGCTCTAATTGTCACGAACCTGGTTCCAAACATGGGGTCGGCACTGGGGCTGAACCTTACATGTTGAAACCCTGAAACCGCGAATTGCTTTGAGGCGGCTCTCACATCCCCCCAAGTCGGGACTCCGGCACAAGCGCCAATCAGCTACAACATGCCATGCTCTTGTCAGAGTGGCTTGAGGATTGTTAAGTATCACTGAAGTAAACCCTTCAACAGCTCTGAAACCTAATCCTGAGCTGACTCGCTAATGCTTCAATTCAAAGCAAACTGCGCGCGAAGCCCCACAACCTGAACCCTGAACCCCAAATCTTAAACCCTCCTGAAACCTCAAAAACACAAAGTTGGCATTGCCCCCCCGAACTCCGGCGTTTCGAGCTTCCACTCAGCATGTTCGAGCTTCTCCTGTCCGCAGATGTGCTAGTCTTGGGTTATTGTATGTCTTGAATACTTGCAATTACAATGGAGTTTTGCGGTCTATTCTCCTACAATTAAGCTGTCTATAGGTTTGAGTCTTGAGCGTCATGTAGGCAATGTAGGGGCCTTGAGACATGCAACCACACTTGACCATAGCGTTTGGGGTTCATGTTATCCCAAATTTATGACAACAAACCTCTAGGACTGCTGATGCTGGTTTTCCAGGCTTCCACGTGAACACGTAGACCTGACAAGCTCGAGACACGAGACCTAAAAGGCCCAAGGAGGAAGAGATCGTAGCCTGGTAAACTCCACATGGGTAGTTCTCTAAATCAACCGGTCCCTTTCTAGGTCCCCAGAATACTTAAAAAAGGGGGCCTAACTGCAACCCTAATTTAGAGAGCTGCCCACGTGTCACCCAGAAGACCATGCAGACCCTGAGCCTTGGCACCCTGTGCTCTGCAGCTGGGTTTAGCTGGGCTTTGAAGTAACAAGGGAAAAAATTACACTTCTATTTCATGTTGTTTGCTTTCAAGAACATGTCCAAAAACCCTAAGCCCGGTCAGGATCCCGAGACTTTTCCTAAAGACGACTTTTGAATGCCACATGCGGCCCCGTCAATTGCCCTCAAGATTGAACCCAGGGTTTTGGGTTGTTTGCTTCAAGGTTTTAAGGTTTTAGGGGCAAGGTTGAGACCCGAGAGCGTTACTGTAGGGTGCCTGGCCAAGGCTGTACGGCAACAATTTGGATGGTTTGGGCTCGGATTTGTCTCAGCGGCCTAGGCCTAAGATCCTATCCTTTGCAAGTAACACAGGGAATGCACTCAAACTTATGTCCTTGTATCAAGCAGCCATTCGGGGTTTTTTAGAAGGGGAGTTGAGGGTTTAGGCCTTGATTACAGAAATCACTGGGTAGCTTCAGCTTTGAAGACCGAAGATGTCCAGTCTTTCACGACCCTAGCATGCTTGAATTCTATGATGATTTTAGGGTTTAGGGTACGCCTAATACCGACACTCCCCCCAACATGAACCCAAATACAAGGCCCTCATGCGGGTTTAGGCGAACATCCGAGCGATCGTGTGGTCTGGAAAAAGCAGCCGGCCTGCACGTTCTCCAAACCTGGCATGAGGCCGTCTTGCAATCTCTTCCTTCCCTAGTTGTTGAAGGCTTTTTGCATTATGTATAGCCTCTTACATCACACTATTTTATTGTACCCTGCTATATTACATTTTACGCTTGTTTTAAAGCTTCGCTGGTAACACGATTGAATATGGTATGATGCTGCACACCTGCACGAAAAGGTCAACACGGCACCTGCTCAGCTGCTCTTCATCCCAGGGATCGGATCGAAACACTGCTGTAATGTAGAGGCTTTAGTAATTAAAATAAGGTTTGGGGGTTATTCATATTTATACTATAATTACAATGGGGAACAACCAAAACCCTATTCTAATTTAGTCTGGTTTCTGGCTTTGGCTGACGGCTTCCGGCTGGGAGCTCAGGGTCTAGCGTGCTGTTCAAGGTACCGGGAGTCACGTGTAACACTGTGGGGGCTTCGATCAAAAGGGGCTACTCGAAACGGTTTTGAGCCAAGACATCTATGACTATGAACCTGAAACCCTCAACAAGGCATAAACGACCTGAGCCACATGCAACAGTGTTTTGGCTCTTAGCCTGAAGCCTAAAACCCCACAGCCGAAGATCCTGAATCGTTACGCCCAGAAGCCTGGATCCATCAGACACAGCCTCATCTTCCTCGTCCAGCGTTCGTGCTAACCCGTTGAAGCTTTTTAAGGTTCTATACGATTAAAATACCCCAAAACAGACAAATGTACAAGGTGACCTACCCCAAGCCATGAACTATCTTAAACATTATCGTGCAATCCCTGCACTCTAAACCCTACTCGACTACCGCACTGTTCTGCTGAACCCCCTCCTCCCAACTTAAACCGGCAAGGCAGGCCCTGCAGCTTCTCCAAGAGGGCCTCCTGCTCCCGGGTTGCCTAGCAAGGACGAGCAGGGCTTACGGTGAACAGAGCACAGGTATTTGCAGCGCAGACCGCACTCAATGAGAGGTTCACCAACCAAGACAACGACAAGATAACCAAAACAACCAACACAACCAACCAACCAATCAACCACCCAACCACCCAATCACCCAACCAACCAACCAACCAGTCAACCGACCAACCAACCATCAAACTGACCAGGCCCTGCCCCTCACTTTTCGCAGGCTCGCATACAGTTCCGTTCGAAAAAATCGTGCAGGGCCCGGTCGGGCGGGAGTTTTTTTTGAATCAGTTTGATGTTCAAAACGCTTCGCTGAATTACTAGACATAACCCAATGATGCCTCTAAGGGCTTCCATGTCACAAGAGCTCGCGGCTCTTCAATCCTGATAAGGCCCCTGCAGGGCAGCTGTGTGCCGCAGGATTCTTCCCAACTGCTCAGGGCTCATGCACTGCAGGCGAAACATGTTCTCCATGACAAGCTGCACGTCGTCGCTCATGGGCGGGGGTGGCGGAGGAGGAGGAGTAGCTGCCTTTGGCGGAAACATGAGGCAAGCCGAAGATAGAGCAACCAAGAATTCACCACACCTCACTGCCGTGGAACTGCACCCTACGGGCGATAAGAAAAGAAATTTCATGTAAACAAGTATGTGTAATTATGCATGTATGGATGCATGCATGCACATGCCGTGCTGTGTCAGTCTGTCTGTCTGTTTGTCTGGCTGGCTGTCTCTCTTGCTGGCTGCACGTACTGACGTATGTATGCAAGCAAGCATGCGTATATACATACATGAACATATGTATGTATATGTGTATATGTGTATATGTGTATATGTGTATATGTGTATATGTGTATATGTGTATATGTGTATATGTGTATATGTGTATATGTGTATATGTGTATATATGTGTATATATGTATATGTGTATATGTGTATATGTGTATATGTGTATATGTGTAAATGTGTGTATGTGTATATGCGTATATGGGTATACGTGCATATGTGCATATGTGCATCTGTGTATATGTGTATATGTGTATATGTGTATATGTGTATATGTGTATACGTGTATATGTGTATATGTGTATACGTATGTGTATATGTGTATATGTGTTTATAAATAAACATATACACATATGTGTAAGCGGATACATACAGCGACACACACACACACACACACACGCAAAGATATCTATACGGAACAACCAAACAAACACACGGACGGACCAAAAGACAGACAGACAGACAGGCAGACAGACAGACTGACACAGCCCGGCATGTGCATGCATGCATGCATACATGCATGCATACTTACATGCTTACATACATGCATACTTACTTACATTACGACAAGTTGATCTGCGTATTTATGGATACATACACGCTGCTTCGTACACAGTCGTTCATTCATTCGTTCATTCATTCATTCAGTCAGTCAGACATTCAAGCCTGCGCTTCTTCATTCCATCGTTCCTTCGCTCCTGCCCTCATACATTCTATTTCATTTGATTTCTGTATGCATTCGTTTCGCCGTTTAATCCTTCCGTCCTTCATGCATTCATTCATTCATTCATTCATCCATCCATCCATCCATTCATTCATTCGTTCATTCATTCATTCATTCATTAATGCATGCATGCATGCATGAATGAATGAATGAAATGAATGAATGATTGAATGAATGAATGAACGAATGAATGAACGAATGAATGAATGAATGGATGGATGGATGGATGGAAGAATTCATGAATGAATGAGTTCATGAATGAATGAATGAATGGATGAAATGAAATGAAATGAAATGAATGAATGAAATGAAATGAATGAATGAATGAATGAAGGAATGAATGAATGGAATGAAATGAATGAATGAAGGAATGAATGAATGGAATGAATGAACGAATGAATGAATGACTGAACTGAATGAATGAATGAAGGAAGGAAGGAATGAATGCATGAGTGAATGAAGGAATGAATGAATGAATGACAGAATGAATGAATGAAATGAATGAATGAATGCATGAAATGAATGAATGAATGAATGAAATGAATGAATGAAATGAATGAAATGAATGAAATGAATGTAATGAATGAAATGAATGAAATGAAAGAACTGAATGAAATGAATGAATGAATGAATGAATGAATGAAGGAATGAATGAAGGAAGGAATGAAGGAATGAACGAAAGAATGAATGAACGAATGAACGAATGAACGAATGAACGAATGAACGAATGAATGAATGAATGAATGAGAATGACTGAATGACTGAATGAATGACTGACTGACTGACTGACTGACTGACTGAATGACTGAATGACTGAATGACTGAATGAATGAATGAATGAAATGAATGAAATGAATGCATGCATGCATGCATGAATGAATGAATGAAATGAATGAATGAATGAATGAATGAATGAACGAATGAACGAATGCATTTCATTCATTCATTCATTCATTCATTCTTTCATTCATTCATGCATGCATGCATTCATTCATTCATTCATTCATGCATTCATGCATTCATTCATGCATTCATGCATTCATTCATGCATTCATGCATTCATTCATGCATTCATGCATTCATGCATTCATGCATTCATGCATTCATGCATTCATGCATTCATTCATTCATTCAGTCATTCAGTCATTCAGTCATTCAGTCATTCAGTCAGTCATTCAGTCAGTCAGTCATTCATTCAGTCATTCAGTCATTCTCATTCATTCATTCATTCATTCATTCGTTCATTCGTTCATTCGTTCATTCGTTCATTCATTCTTTCGTTCATTCCTTCATTCCTTCCTTCATTCATTCATTCCTTCATTCATTCATTCATTCATTCATTCATTCATGAATTCATTTCAATCATTTCATTCATTTCATTCATTTCATTCATTTCATTCATTTCATTCATTTCATTCATTTCATTCATTCATTCATTCCATTCATTCATTTCATTCATTCATGCATGCATGCATGCATTCATTCATTCAATTCATGTAATTTCATTCATTCATGCATTCATTCATTCGTTCATTCATTCATTCATTCATGCATTCGTTCTTTCATTCATCCATTCATTCATTCATTCATTCATTCATTCATTCATGCATTCATGCATTCATGCATTCATTCATTCATTCATTTCATTCATTCATTTCATTCATTCATTCATTTCATTTCATTTCACTTCATTTTATTTCATTCATTCATTCATACATTCATGCATTCATTCAGTCATGCATTCACTCATTCACGCATTCACTCATTCACAAAATTCGCTGATTCACTCATCCATCCAAACATTCAAGCAGGCAAACAACCAGTCAAACGTCCATCGATGCATTCGTTCATCCAGTCACTCCATCTTGAACATTTCAGTCTTTCGTCCATCAAGCCATTCATGCATGCATGCATGCATGCACATTCAGATATAGATATATGTAGATGTAGCTCTATATGTAGGTGTAGAGCTAAATTGTAGATATAGATGTAGATGTGGGTATTGATACCCATATTATACATATACATATATATATATATATATATAAAGATACAGAAACAGATATACACACTATGCAAACGTATACATGTATGTGTTTAAACAACATGAAATGGACATATCTCTATCTGCTATGTGTACAGGGGGAAAGAGCGACAGACAGCTAAGACAAGAGAAGACAAGAGAAGAGAAGATATAACCAAAGAGACGAGACGACCGAACAGAACAAAACAGAGCAGAATAGAGCAGAAGAGAAGAAAACAGAGAAGAGAGGATAAGATTGGCTTAAGTTTAGGTTCGGGCTTAGGTTGAGGGCGAAGTCTAGATTCGGTTAGATAGACAGATAGATTACATACATATATATATGTGCATAATAAACAACCGTGTGTGCTTGTCAAGTGCACGGAGCCTGCCGGAGTATGCCGGCGTCCACCGCTCCCACTCGCGGCGCCGGGGTCGGCCACCATGGTATGGCATCGTCTCAATGCGCTCTGTTTGCTACTGGTGAGAGGCTGAGACCACCACTTTCCTTTGAGCAACACTGTGCAGCTGAATGTGCACAAGGCCCAAAACTGGCAAGTCTGATGGTCATGCTTTTGGGTGTAAAGCCAGCGCAACTTTCGGGGTTTCAGGCATTAAGCTTTATGGTGTAAGAGTTATTGTTGCAGATCGCACTCAATGGGAGGTTCACCCACTGACCAACCAAGACAACCAAACAACCAACCATCAAGCCGACCAGGCCCTGCCCCTCACTTTTCGCAGGCTGGCATACAGTTCCGTTCGAAAAAATCGTGCAGGGCCCGGTCGGGCGGGAGTTTTTTTTGAATCAGTTTGATGTTCAAACCGCTTCGTTGAATTGCTAGACATAACCCAATGATGCCTCTAAGGGCTTCCATGTCACAAGAGCTCGCCGCTCTTCAATCCTGACAATGCCCCTGCAGGGCAGCTGTGTGCCGCAGGATTGTTCCTGCAGGCGAAACATGTTCTCCATGACTCGCTGCACGTCGTTGCTCATGGGCGGGGGTGGCGGAGGAGGAGGAGTTGCTGCCTTTGGCGGATTCATGAAGCCTCCCCACGCGATCCATCCATGAATATCACCTGGTTGAAGTTGGGGGCCATTCCACTCGTCATCGGAATCCGGGCTGCAAATCCACTGTTGCAGAACGCCTCCCCGGGATGTGGCAGCTGTGACCAAGATCCTGGCCACACTTCACATCGGAATCTTGCCACGCAAAGCTCCTGCATAAATCCAACAAACCATTCATGCATGCATGCATGCACATTCAGATATAGATATGAACAATGTAGATGTAGCTCTATATGTAGGTGTAGAGCTAAGTTGTAGATATAGATGTAGATATGGGTATTGATACCCATATTATACATATATATATATATATATAAAGATACAGAAACAGATATACACACTATGCAAACGTATACATGTATGTGTTTAAACAACATGAAATGGACATATCCCTATCTGCTATGTATACAGAGGGAAAGATCGATAGACAAGAGAAGACAAGAGAAGAGAAGATATAACCAAAGAGGCGAGACGAGAGAAGAGAAGAGAACCGAACAGAACAGAGCAGAACAGAGCAGAAGAGAAGATAACAGAGAAGAGAGGATAAGATAAGCGTAGGCTTAGGTCCATGACAAGCTGCACGTCGTTGCTCATGGGCGGGGGTGGCGGAGGAGGAGGAGGAGGAGGAGGAGGAGGAGTTGCTGCTTTTGGCAGGTTCATGAAGCTTCCCCACGCGATTCCATCCATGAATATCACCTGGTTGAAGTTGGGGGCCATTCCACTCGTCATCGGAATCCGGGCTGCAAATCCACTGTTACAGAACGCTTCCCGGGGGATGTGGTAGTTGTGACCAAGATCCAGACCATACTTCACATCGGAATCTTGCCACGCAAAGCTCCTGCATACGTCCATCAAACCATTCATGCATGCATGCATGCACATTCAGATGTAGATATGGACAATACAGATGTGGATGTATATGTAGGTGTAGAGCTAAATCGTAGATATAGATGTAGCTATGGGTATTGGTACACATATAGATGTATATATACATATAGATTCAGAAACAGATTACAGATTATACAGACATATAGATGTATGTGTTTAGATAACATGAACCGGACATATCTCCATCTGCATCTATGTATAGAGGATGGAAGAGCGATAGACAGGTAAGAGAAGAGCAGAAAAGAGAAGAGAAGAAAGATAACACAAGAGAAGAGACGAGAGAAGACAAGAGAACTGAACGGAACAGAAGAGAATAGACGAGAAGACAAGACGGAAGACAAGAGAGAAGAGAAGAGAAGACATGGTCAGATTTAGGTTCAGGCTCAGGTTAAGGTCGAAGTCTAGATTCGGTTAGATAGACAGATAGATTACATATATATATATATATGCATCACAAACAACCGTGTGTGCTTGTCAAGTGCGCGGAGCCTGCCGGAGTCTGCCGGCGTGCACTGCTCCCACTCGCGGCGCCGGCGTCGGCCACCGTGGTATGGCATCGTCTCAATGCGCTCTGTTTGCTACTGGTGAGAGGCTGAGACGACCACTCTCCTTTGAGCAACACTGTGCAGCTGAATGTGCACAAGGCCCAAAACTGGCAAGTCTGATGGTCATGCTTTTGGGTGTAAGGCCAGCGCAGCTTTCGGGCTAGGGGTTTAGGCATTAGGCTAAGAGGTGCAGGAGCCATTGTTGCAGACGGTAGCGGGTTTATGCAGCTGTGGTGCCTCCAGCTGGCTTTGCAGCTGCTGCGAACGAAGTTCCTGTACCTGCACGTGCGCATCGCCGAGCTTTCGGGCACACTGCTGGACATGGGTGGGACGTGGATGGAGGTTGAGACTGCAAAGTTTGCTCTGACCGTTCCGGAATCAGAGTTGGAATTGGGGCTAACTACGGCATTCGGGTTCAGAGTTTGCAACTTCTGTCCGTCTTTACATCCGCATTTCCAACCACGGGCCCGATAGCAGAGACATCGCGAATAGACAAGACCCCATGAGCGGAACCTTAGTCGTCATACTGGGGATATGTAGCAAATAGCAAGTACTCTGCTTTCCATGCATTTTGCAGTGCCTGAGCAGGAACCGTGGGTTTAGGATCAGCAACCCCATAAGAGCTAGACCTAAGAGCAACCTAGGAGTAAAAATGGTGCCCTTTTTGGTTTAAAGGGGTTTATAAGGGGGACCTAAGCCCTTAAAAGGGAATAAGGGCCTACTCTGGGTCTTAGAAGGCCAGCGCTTGGAGATGGCCCTGGCCATGCACTTCGGGGTTTCGTCCCATCTGAACCGGGATCGAATTTCCCAAAGGGTCCTAACCACTTGTACGGCAGAAAGTAGGATTGCTAAAGTAGGAATAGCCAGTATCCCCGCCCCATTTAGGTGCTTAGGACCCTTTGGGTTTGAAACCAGAACCACGACCACGAAGTTACCCTAAACCCTAAACCGTTCACGAAGTTGCGATGTTTCTTCAGGTCAGGAGGCCTGAGAGAAGTAGATTCTCGCAGGCCGAAAGTCCGACGCTGAGTCTCGACCCTGAGCTCTACCTACGATCTCCATTGTAGTTCCTTTTGTGGTTTAGGGTTTAGGGAAAGGGCTCCTTAAAGGGATCTATAGGGCTCCTTAAAGGGATCTAGGGGGTTTAGGTTACCTTATAGGATCCTAAATGCAAAACCAAAAAACGAACTACGACGGAGACTGTAGGCAAGCTACGACGAAACCTTCTCTTCTCAGATATCGCCCGTGCCAAAACCCCGAGTTGACCCAAAGATCCCTGAAGCAACCCTGCTAGTGGCTCTTATAGGAATAACCCCTACAGACACATAGAGTTACCCTTATAATGACCCTCATAGAACCCTACTGAGAGCAACCCTTGTTACAAAACCTTTATCGCAACCCTTGTAATAACCCGTCCAGAACCCATAGAGTAACCCTGAAATGACCGTTGTGGCAACCCTCATAATAAACCTCATAGAACCCTTAGAATAACCCTTATAAGAAGCCTTATACCAACCTTCTGAATAGCCCGTATAGAACCCTTACACCGTGTAAGAGTAGCCCCTTAAATAAGCCCTTTTGCAACCCGTCTGGTATTTCTTATAGAACCCCAAGAGTGACACTCATAAGAAGCCTCAAAAGCAACCCTCATAGTATCCTGCACAATGACCTTATTCTAGTCACCCTATAGCAACTCTAGACCGACTTGGATCTGGGTTTGCGACCGTTTCTGTGTGGAGATCTTTGTCCACAACGTCTCTCGAAGTCTGGACCCACATGTCCTCTGCCGGCGACAAGAATGCCAAACAGCTACCTTTTAGGGTTTACCTAGACCCTAAAGAACTTACCTTTTTGGGGACTTACATAAAGACATCAGGTTCTATAATTACGGTCCAGGTAGGGCTTAGGGTTTGGGGACCTGCAGTCGGAGAGTACGCAGAATCATGGCTTCATTGTGAGTTTGCTGGGGTTCCCATAATACTTATCTACAGTACATACGATGGTTCCTTTAATATATGGTAACTTGCGTCAGAGTGGGTTGTAGTGTGGACTGTCGAGTGCTATGGCGAGTTGACGCGATGGCTAGAGACAGACTTCGCATGTCGAGCCCCGGACACTCAAAATGCTCAAAGCTTGGGTTGCCAAGAGAGCCCGATCCTTAACAATTAGAATAAGGTTTTGGGGGCTCATTATGCTATAATTACCATAAGGAACCCGCACAATCGTATAGGTAATTATTAAGGCCTCGATAGTCAACATTGCCAACCCTAAACCCTAAACCCTAAACCCTATATTGTGACCCCATCCCTTACCGTGATCATGGTCGACGGCTCTCCTCGAGAGTGGGCCGCAGTGGCACGGATCCCCAGAGGACGCTCCTCAGGAGGCTCAACAGCCAAGGACAGCAACAAAAAGCCACAATGTAGGGGCCTAAACAATTACCAATTACTATTTTGGTGGGGTTCCTTACTATAATTATAGTATAGTGGGCCCCAAAACCCTATTCTAATTATTAAGGCCCCTATAGTAACACTTCTGTATGCAAGCCACGTCTGTGAATTCAGGAGGCCTTAAACCCTAATTCCTACAACCATACTTTTAGGTTTTGAACCCTAAACCCCTAAACCCGTAAACCCTAAACCCTAAAACCTTGAACCGTAGACATTAGTCGAATTAACCCTAATCTATAGACCCTGGACCCTAAATCTTGAAAAAACTAAGATGTCCGTGAAGGCGCTGCGTCTGCTGCACCGGCGGCTGCGCTACCAAGCCTCAGAGGGCGCAGAGGTTTAGGGTTAAGGGTTTAGGGTTCGGGGTTTAGGGTTTGAGGGGTTAGGGTTAAGGGTTTAGGGTTTAGGGATTAGGGTTTAGGGTTAAGGGTTTAGAATTTAGGTTTTAGGGTTTAGGGTTAAGGGTTTAGGGTGGTACCGGGGGCTCGGGTCTGGGGAATAGGGTTCAGGTTTGGTTGTACAGAATACGTTACTATAGTGATGTCCGGGCAAGAAGGCTAATGAACAGAATACGGTTTTGGTGAGTATCATACTATGAGACTAGCGTCTTGGTGGGTATCATCCTATAGGAAAAAGGGTCTTGGTAAGTATTCCTACTATACGAACAGGATTTCAGTGCGCATCTGTTACCTATGCTACAGGCCTCGTACGAAACCCTGAACCCTGAGCCCATAACCTCAAACCCTGAACCCCTAGCCTAAACCCCAAACCCTAAACCCTATTAACAACCCCAAACCCTAAGCCCCTAACCCTAAACCTCTAAACCCTGAATCGCTTTAGAGTTTGGAGTGTGGGCTTAAGACTTGTAAGGTTCGGAGCTTATTGATTGAGGGATTTAGGGTGTTCAACGGCTTTTGGAGTTTCAGCTCATCATTTTTGCGCGTAGAATATTTTTGGGTTCCGGGTAATATGGCTATGAGTTTGCATGCTCTAAGATTCATATGCAGCTTAGGAATTAAAATCTAAAGGGGAAGCCCAGCTCGGTATGCAGTACGCTACGGCCCGTTTCGATAACCAAGAAGGTTCACATGAACTGCCAGATACTGCCACTATGCGACTGGGCCTCAATAGACCATCCGTATAGACAGAGTGTCTTCGGGGCTGCATTCCTTATGGTAGTACATATCGACTCTCTCTTCCATAAGGGTAGTACATATAAAGTCTCTGGGTAACCATAGCAACTCAAAATCGGCATGGCAACCAGCTCCAGAGCTTAGTTCATTTTAGGCTCCAGAAACCCTTCCCCCAAATCACGTCTGTAAACGGGAACCTAATAGGAGGCCTGTAAAGACAGGATGTTGGGGTGTGCCTCATGGCTCATAAGAGCTTCGTACAGGGCATCGTGTATTACAAAACCGACCCTGGGCTTGGGCGAGTAAACAACCTTCCATAATGTGTTTGAAGGCCCCCACCCTGGAATAGTGGTATAGTAGGAATATAATGGGACCATAATATAATCCTTATAGTCACTACTACAGGGTGTGGCGGGGCCTTCTAAAGAATATACCACAAAACCCAATGCTAATCATTAAGGCCCCTAGGTTGCTCTGGCTCAAGACTAGCTATCTGTGCGCAGCGAAGATGAGCTGTTGAGGGGCAGGTACAAGACAACATGAACTTGTGGATGCAATGAGAACCTACTGGTTGTAAAGGCTGTGCAACGGCTATGATGGAGGGAAATACTTAGACATCTCAATCTAAACCCTAACCCCGCCCTCCCTACATTCAAACCCTCTACCCCAAACCCTATACCCTAAAATCCCAAACCCTAAACCCTAAACCTAAAACCCCAAACCCACCAAGAAAGCAACAGCCTATCTTCTGCCAGGCGGCAGCAGCGGCCCCCAGAAGGGCGCAGAGGCAGCAAGCATTCCTGCAGAGAGAAACGGTTCGGGGTTTAGGTCTTATCTCTCAGGGTTGTTCAGGGTTTAGGGATTTAGGGTTTAGGGGCTTTAGGGTTTGAGGGTTTAGGGTTTGGGAGTTCGGGGGTTTAGGGTTCATCGTTCCTAGGCGTTGCTGGTGGTATTCCCGGCTGAGGCGTTAGGTAGCAGGCCTCGGGCTGAGGGCTTGGGGTTTGAAATTTGGCATTCAGGGCTTGGGGCGGTTTAGGGCTTAGGGCGGTTTAGGGTTGAAGGCGGTTTAGGGCTTAGGGCGGTTTAGGGCTTAGGGCGGTTTAGGGTTTAGGACGGTTTAGGGTTTAGGGCGGTTTAGGGTTTAAGGCGGTTTAGGGCTGAGGCTTTAGCATTCCTGTGGTACTGGTAGGGCTGGGGATATCCTAAAACCATCTCTGACACACACCCTTATAGCCGGATCGTTGCTGATATGTATCTCCGATACAGACCCTCTTCTCTCTACACACGGGCAAACATATGTATACACATATACATGTATATATACACACAAACATATGGGTGGTTGGTCCCTTTCTGGACCTAATACGGTAGCTAAGATTCAGGGTACCCAGAAAGGGACCCTACTGTTGACAACCACCCATATGTATAAAGGTACATAGATACACATATACATAAACTCTACCGAATCCTTCGTATAAGGACCCTTACAAAGGAACCTTGTGTTTCCTTCCCCGAGACGTCTTCGGCAGAAAAGTCTTTTGAAGGTGGGGACTGGTTCTGTTCTGCGCTTTGTGGCGCCACTTCGCCTGCGGTTGGGATCTTGCTTATGAGAACGTGATCGGTGTGATGAGCCCAAGGTTTAAGAGCTAAGGTTCCAGGGTTCTTGGAGTTTAGACTTTCAGGGTTTACGATCTAGCCGTTTCTAAGTGTTCAGCACTCTTTAAAAAGAGGGGTTAGGGTTTAAGGCTTATAAGGCTATGATTCAGACCACCACAAGGTCTTCGATTACCTTGATCAAGAGACCCCATGCACTTACCTCTTCGGGGCTGCCTTCCTGGGGCCATTCATTCTCGCAGTCGAGAGCCCGTGTCCCACTCAACTGCTCATAACTCTCCTCAAGTCCTAAAGCGTGGGTTTTGCCCGAAGCGCCGTAACTCTAGCCTGCACAAACGCCAACATCTGTGTCCTTGAGCTCTTGTAGCTCTCTGCTGTGTCGAGAGTCAAAGGCAGCCTCAGAAACGTCTGAAGTTCAAACTCTGAGGATGTTAGGATCCAAATAGTGGGGGAATGGTCTTTGGTATCTAAGACGCTACTGTTTGGATCCTTCAAGTTAAACTACAGTTAAACCACGATTAGTTTTTTCCAGGTGAGGATGTAGCTCGAACTAAACTTCCTAAATTCGGTGTATACGGTCGATGATGCTTGTTTGTGCTGCAGCCATTCAGGCTTGGGAGGTTTCAGGAACAAGGATTAGGGTTTAGGGTTAGGGTTCCAGGTTTAGGGTTTAACCTTTAACAACCCCACAGCCCTACACACTTACCAAAAGCCAAAAGACTGCATAAGTGTCCCCCGTGACTAGGAACTGTTCACAGCTTATCTTTCGATGCTCTTGTGCCCTACATGTGCCCTTTAGGACACAAGGACAACACCCTCCAGACCCAAGAGTAACCTAGGTATAAAAAGGGTGCCCTTTTTGGCTTAAAGGGGGTGAAAAAGGAACCTGAACCCAAAAAAAGGGAATAAGGGCCTACGCTGGGTCCTAGTTTCAGTTCCCTTTACTGGCTTCTAAAGACCTACCTATAGTCTCCATTGTAGTTCATTTTTGGTTAAACCGATTACATGTCTGAGGATCCTATAAGCCCTTCCACAGCCCACTGTCCCACCCATGGCGCGATCCCCAAATGCCAAACACTAAGCGGAAACCCCTAAACCCACAACCGCAAAGAACCACCCGGCAGCTTGTACTTAAGGGGCCTTAATAATTTGACGATAATGATAATCAGGAACCCCTCAAAATAGTACATGTAATGATTAAGGTCTCTATACTAACTCTGCTCCTTCCTTCCGCCGTCCAGGGGCAAGTTCCGCCTGCAGAGACTGCACACGAAGCCGCTCGGCCGACCTGCTCGTGTTAGCTCAGGGCTTGGGGTTTAGGGTATAGGAACACAAACAAGAATCAAAACAGAGTAGTGACGAAGTATGTCAAAAGTATGTGTGTGAGCATAGGCATGGTCACAAAGCGAAGAAACGAACTAGTAATAGTAATGATAACAATGCTAGTAGAGTCGAAAGTATGTATATCTGTATGTATACGTACACATACACGTATAGGTATATGTATATGTATATGTGTATCTGTAGATGTGTGTGTGTGTGTGCACGTATACAGTATGTCTATGTATACGTATATACATATATATATATATATAGGGAGAAAGAAAGAGAGAGCGAGAGAGAGAGAGAGAGATGTAGCTTAGAGTACACTATTCAGTTCTTTGCTCCCAAACTGCTGGATTTGCAGGGATTACGGGCGTGCTTTCAGTCAGACTCTGTCTTCACCCTCCTGTTTCGGAGCCATCACTTCCGTTGCATTGTGTGGGGTGACAGGTTTCCTGTCCTTACGATCTAGGGGTTTAGGACTTGAGACAACCCGAAAGAGTCCACATCTGCTGCTAGTCTGGGCCACGGCTAAGGTCCCAAGAGCCAAGGCTAAGGTCCCAAGAGCGAGTCTTTCGGGGACAAGTTCCGTGCTTTTGTGACAGTTGAAAGGAATTTGAAAAAAAAGCCACGGACCCTTAGCAGAGACCCGAACGGGGTAGGATCCCTCTTGTCTGGACTCGTCAGAAGCCAGCCCTGACTTCAAGAACCCCGCAAATGGACCTCTGGCAACCTTCGCTTATAGGGGCCCAAACGACCACCTCAACATCGGCACCAGCACCTCGCAACTAAGGTTTCCCTCAAAAGAGCCCTTGTACACCCGATAAGGATCCTTGTGTTTGCGGGGTGGTTTTGAAACTGTGGAACCTTATCCCGGCCCTAATAAGCTCAAACTCGCAGGGCCACCAGCTCCGCAGGCAGCTCTCATAGGATCGCTGCTGCTCCGAAAACGAGTCGACGCTCGACTCCTCATGTGGTTTTGGAGCATCCAGTGAAGCCAATGGTTTGGAATGGAGTGAGCTGCTCATAGTCCGAACTATCAGTGAGAGTAAGGAAGGGAGCGTCGGAAGACCATCTTCCAAGCTGCAAGGTAAGTAGACAGTCACAAGAAACACAAACAAAGACAACCTGCCCCTAAACCCTAAACCTTAAACCCTAAACCCTAAACCTTAAACCCTAAACCATAGAACCCTAAACCCTAAACCCCTAAACCCTAAACCTTAAGCCGAAACTGGTGTGTACGGTGTTTCAACTGGGGCTCGAGAAGCCGAAACCATAGATGCCAAATTGGAGACGGTTTAGGGTTTGTCTCATTTTTCTCTCTAGTTTATTGAAACACCGTGAACGAAGGATGGTTTGCAAAACGTCCGTGACAAAACGCGGCTGTGCCAGCATAGACAGTGTGAGCCTCAACCCTTAGCCCTGTTCCAGGATCTCGGAGAGTCTTTAGGATGGCTGAGACATGCCCAGTCTTCCATCCACCAACAAACCTTTCATCTGTCTCATGGTTCGCAATGTGACCTAGTTATCACAAATATGTATATGTGTACGTATGCGTTTGTAGCTCTATCTATCTACCAAGCTAGCTAGCTATCTGTGCATCTGCCTATCTGTCTATCTGTGTGTCTGTTTATCTACATGTCTATCCATCCATCCATCCATCCATCCATCCAGCCATCCAGCGATCTATCTAAATTCTTACATACTTGGTTAAATATGACCATAAACTCCAGTGACACTTGGGCACATGGTTCAGGCTAACTCCCCCACCCAACTAGCTAGACGGATGTCCCTTCCCGAATTATTAAACCAGCCACTAAACCCTCAAATCTACTTTTAACCCTCAAACACCCCAAAACCCTACAAATCCCAGCTTGAAACCGCACCTCCGTAAAGCCCTGCATCATCCTAACCTCGTAGCCCATAAACCACATAGTCCGAACGCTCCAACTCCTCAACCCTGAACCCCAGAAGCCAATTCAAATCCTCATCATCATCCTAGCCCGAGAACCCAATATCAATAGAGCCCTTACAGCACGGCATAAAATCCTGTGAGACCTTTGTCAAACCCAATGAAACTAGCAGAAACTCGAAGCAACCCGCCCGAAAACCCTCAACACCTTACAAACCGAAGGCCAAGGCTCCAATCGCTCCTGGAAGGGACCCGGAAGCTCCGCTTTGCTTCGTGGTGTTTACGGCTTTGGAGGGTGCGGTTTTAAGGGCTTGGGGAGTTAACTTGTGGAGTTTGGGCTTAGCTCAAGGTGTGATGTCGGTTTAGGGGGTCTTGAGAAGGGTTATATATAGGGTTTAGGGTCTAGGGCTGTACATGGTTTAGGGTTTTGGGTTTTGGGTTGTATATGGGCGCAGGGCTCGATTGCGGTTGACGAGTGGCGCTTGGGGATTTGGATTTGGGATGTGAGGTGGATGTGCGCTTTAATCCTTCGGGCTTTGATGATGGAACAAATCTGTCATTTGGGATCTACCTTTGGGATTTGGGTTTCAATGAAACTTTGAAATTAGAGGGAATAATGTAGGTCTGAACTATTAGTGCCACTGTCGCCTTATGTTCCCGACAAAATACACCATTATGCTGACCTACTGCACAATCAGCCAACACCTGAGGCTTGCTGCTGATCCTGCAACCCCTAACCTCCAAGATAGCTCCCCAAACCCCTAAACCCCAAATCCGGGCCCTAAGCCCTGAACCATGTACTGGCCTGGAGCTCCAGCAGCTGCGCTTTGGCCACTGCCAGCTCCTCGCAGGCATAACGGGTCTAGGGTGGCTTAGGAACTGGGCGTTTTAAGTTGTTGAGGGTTTAAGGTCTAGGGGTTTTAGGATGGTTTAAGGCTTTGGGCTTTTTTAGTTGTTGGGGGGTTGGGGTTTAGGGGGCATTGGAGGGTTCCCGATGCCCGCCGAGCTTTGCAATTGGTTGAAGGCCCACGGCCTTGCCACCTGGTGCAACTGTTTGTAACTACCTACTTGTCGGGTATCATGGGGAACTAAAGGTTAACCTTTCTGGGTATATAGGGGACTATACTACCCAAAAAAAGGTTAAAGGTTATCTACTCTACTACTAGGACTAATTAATTAAGTTCTCCAGGTAAGGGAATTTGATGGCATTGGAGACACTCGGCCCTGCGGGTCAGTCGCTTCAGCCGTTTACTGAGTTTACTGCTCATGATAGCAAGGTCTTGGGCCTGCGGGCACATGCTCAGAAACACCATCTACCCTAAACCCCGCAACCTGAACCTCCAAACATACTAGAAAGACTAAATGCCCCCCCAAACTGCAAGCCCTCAACCCTAAAACCTACCTTAAAGCCCAAACCCTCAACCCTGAACCCTAAATACCCCAAAAGACCAAGCCCTCAATCCCCCCCGGAAACGCAGCCCCATAAGCCAAACCCTCAACTCTGAACCCCCGAACCCTCAACCCCGATAAAACCCGCTAGAACGCTCATAAACCCTGTAGAACCCTCATTGACTCATAAAATCCCTGTAGAAGCCTCATAAAACCATGGTAAAAGCCCCAGGCCCTAAGAGCCCGCGGGACACCTTGGCGCGCAGCTCCGCCAACTGCTCGCAGCGGTCGCCATAGAGCCGTGACTGGGTTCATCCAAGGGTAAAAGGAGGGACCCTTAATAAGGACCCCTAGGTATAGAGCCTTTATATATATATATATATATATATATAGATAGCTATTATATACCTAGCCCATTACAGGCCGCGACTGGGTTTGTTTTTGAGGCTTCGGCTCAAGGGTCGGAGTGTTAGGGGTTTGGGGGTTTAGGGCTTCGGGTTGGGACTACCCGCAGTCTCCATTGTAGTTCTTTGTTGCTTTAACCAACTTTAATAAAGTATGTATATTTAGGATATTCTAAGGTAAACGGAACTACAATGGAGACTATAGGTAGGTTTTACAGTGCACTTTTTTGTCCAACTGCTTTTGCCGATCGCCTAAAGCTGTCAGGGATTTGTTTCAAGGACGCGAATAGGTTTTAGGGTTCAGTTCAGGTGGCGTGAAGGGGATAGGGTTTAGGTGTTTACGACTCCCGCAGAATTCTCGGTGCGCTTAGGTCCTGGTCTAACACACATGTTCGGGGCATTCTGGCAGGTCGTCTGCAGCTTAAGCTAAACATCTGGGCACTTTCGAAGGATTACGGGCATGTAGGTGGAGCTTCCGGCTCAATGGGGGCTTCAGCGTTTACAACAAGGCTTCTTCTTGGCCCGGTGTGTATAAGAAGTCAGCATGTAAGCCCTGTCGCCCGAGGTCCGAGGCGGTCTCAAGCCAGCAAGTCCCAACTGGAGGAGTGCGTAGCCTATCCTAAACCCTGAACCTAAACCTTAATTAAACGCCAAACAAATTGATTCCTAAACTAGACTGTCAACCTTCAATATTAAAGTACAAGTTCGGGGGAGTTTGAGGGTTTCAGTAGAGGGCAGAACTTCACGTGTAAAGCCTGCCGTAGGTGCGAAATCTTCCAAAACCTCAACCCCGAAACTCCAAACTCCCTATACTAAACCCCTCAACCACAAGGGCCTCTCCTTCAACACTTCATCTCTGGAACGCAGCCTCCCTCAACGCCCACGCCAATAAACTCCAATCGCCGGCCAAGTACGCCAAACCGTACAACCAAACCCCAAACCCTTAACTTCGAAAGGAACCTCATCGAGCTGCTGCCGGTGTCTCCGCAGCTGCTCGTCCTGAAGGCAGAGAGTATGAATACACGATTTTAGCTCAAAGCTCCGAACCTTACGCTCGAAACCCTTGATCCAGGCCTAAACCTAAACCTTCAACCCTAGAAAGACCCAATTCCTATTCTCTAAAGCCTATCCTAAGCCCTGAACCGAAACCTTAAACCCCACAAAAACTTGGATCCTAAAACACTCTCAACCCTCTCCTAAACCCGGAAACTTCAAATCCCAAACCCTAAGCCCCTTGAGCCTCATGAAAACCCATGCATCGCTGAACCTCCGCGAACTCCACCGCCCCAAGACCGGGAACTGCAGACTGAAGAGGCTGAACTCCAGACACTACGGGATTACTTGGGGTTTTGATGTTTCTGGAATGGTCTTCCAGGTATATGGGCTTCCAGGCTTAAGCCTTTTCGGGTTGAGTTTTTACGGCTATACTCTTATGCGGTTTTGGGGTTTGGGATTTGGGGCTCAGAAGCTTGGAGTTTAAGAGTTGTCTTTGCTTGGGAGCTCTTTTCCGACTGTGACTTTTTTTTGGGGGGGGGGTTAGGCGATTTATGTGGCTTTGGGATTTAAAGCTTAGGAGGTTTTGGTTTGGAATAAGATCCCCCCCACCCAAACCGTTAACCCTAGCAGCGTTACCGCCAGTGACTGAGCCCTGCACTTGGAGAGATTGAAACATTATATACGGAGTAGTCCTCTATGTTAGAGTCCTTTTTAGGGTCCTTTTTTGAAAGGCTGCCGTTCTATGTTGGATTCCTACACAGGGGTCCGATGTAGAGAACTACCCATGTAGATACCTCCTCAAGACTGCTCAACAAGACCCTCACTCGGGAACTCGGCACATAGACGGAACAAACACGTCTGCAAAGTGTCTTGGACTTGGGGATTGGGGTTAGAATTTTGGGTCGCTCACGTCTTTCGCAGAGGACTTCAGAAACCCTAAACCCTAAACCCTAAACCCTAAACCCTAAACCCTAAACCCTAAATCGAAATCCTGAATCGTTCGAGAATAAATCCTGAGCTCCTCGATACCCCTGCACAATTTCGCTTGCCTGAACCCTTAAGCATAAACTGAGCCCTAAACCCCACATCCTGTAGAACACACCGAATTCCAAAAGTGAATCCATAATGGAGCTCGCAGTCGTCCTTCTCCAGCAGATCCGCTTTTTGCTCCTTACTTGAACCAAGTCACAACCGGAGGAAGAGTAGGTGAGTAGGAGAAGCACTACTACTACTACTACTAACTACTACTACTACTACTACTACTACTACTACTACTACTACTACTACTACTACTACTACTGCCACTGCTGCTTCTCCTCTTGCTCCGCCTCCTCTGTTCCAGGCACCGCAATAACGACCACAACTACTACCAATGTTATTGCTCCTGCTACTGCCGCTAGACGCGCTAGAGACCCCGAATACTCACAAAAGTTCAAGTCTTAATCTTCAGGAGTTGCAGCTCACAGCGTTGGGAGTTTTGCGGCTCAGAGAATGCGGACTCATGGCTAGGACTTGGGCTTCCGGGGCTTTGTCTGTCAATAGGGTTTAGGGTTTAGGGTTTAGGGAAGTTGTCGGGAATGCGACGGTTGGGGTTCTGTGGAAGGCATTGAACTTAGTGAGCCACTCAAGCTTCTCTCTCGGTTTCGCGACCTTTCGGTGTGCTCTCGGTTGATGATATAAGCCCTGCATTACCTTAAGGGCCCCAGACTATGGGAATTATGGTATATTCAAGTATATTCTTAACAATGGGTAATGCAGGAATTGTGTCATCAACCGTCTTCAACCTGCGTAACCATAAGCCCTCATCGTACTACACCACCTAAACCGACTCTAAACTCGGAAATGCAAATCCTGAACCCTCAATCCCCGAATCCTTGCATTCACTTAGGGCCTAAGCCTCTAAGTGAACTCGTGGACGAGGGTCGTTGAGCTCTCGCTTCTGCTCTTCGAGAAGCCTCGAGGCTTAAGCAGCTCAGGGTTTAGCGTTTAAGGTTGATGTAGGAACCTGATTAAGAAACCCTGGGCCTATAACCCCAAAAAAGTAGGACAGTAGAATTCATATAAGGAACCCTTTCAAAGCCCCAAGGTTTCTTAATCAAGCTCCTACATTAAGGGAGATGCAAACCCCGGCTGAGTTCGGAATCTCAGCTTGGAAAAGCGGAGGACAGCTGGTAATTACTCGCTATTGGAGCAGCTAGAGAGGGCCTTCGTCGGGTCCAAAACTTTACATATGAGTGGTTGTCAAAGTTATGGTCCCTTCTTGGGTCCCTACTCTAATACGGCACCTGTTATTTACGGTACCCCAAAATGGACTCCTAATTTTGACAACAACCTATATAGAATACAAGGCCTCTGGCCCTACAACGCAAGTGGAAGTAGTAGAAACAAAGCTTATAAGGGTTTGGGGTTACGGGTTGAGGATTCAGGGTTCAGGGTCTAGGGGACATCTGCGAGGAAGCTAAGGTGCCCTTCGGGTGTGCCTGTTCTGGGCCCCAACTATGCAGCTGCAAGCTGTTCCAGCCGGTGACTGCCTACTAGCAAGTAGAATAGGGTTAATTTTGGGGGCATATTATACTATGGCTGTATGAATTATTCAGGAAGCCCGACACTAGAAGTATTGGTAATTATTTTGGCCCCTATATTATTCGAACAGGGAACCTGATTTGAGGGTTTAGGGTTTAGGGTGTAGGGTTCAGGGATCAGGGACTGTCTTAAGGCCATCACCCTATTTGGACACCGCTACCTTCGTTAAAACGTGTCCTGCAGGGATCGGAGCCTTACTTCATCTCCCGTTTCAAAAGCACCGTGCCAGCAGCTCCACCTAAACTAAAGGGGTTTAGGGTTTAGGGTTTAGGCATATCTGAGCGAACCCATGTGCTTTCTACAAGCGTCATCTCTGGTACACCCATGCTCTAGCCACCTCCACATTTTGCCCGTTCCTGAAGCCCCTCCAAGTCCGGGTTCCGGGAACCCTGCTTCGAAACTTGGAAAGCGATCGCCTAAGCAGGACGGTCGACAGGGCTGCAGTAAAGGCGGTATAGGAGTGTAACCCATCCTGCGAGATACCTGGATGATTTCGACGATTGAACAAGCAACGACGTACAGCCCTGTCCGAGCTGTGTTGAGACTGTTTGGATCGCATGATAGCTAGCCTCGGACTAAAAGCCCAAACTACGAATCTCCCTAAACCCTAAGTCTCCGGTCGCGGAGCTCTTGCTGCTCGCGCATCAGCAGGCGTTGCTCGGAATCCTGGAGGTGCCGCTGCTGCTTCCTGAGCTTCCGAACACCCGGGGCGGCTTAAGGCTTTCGATAAGGCTTTCGATGGGAGTTTCCGAAAAAATGGGACCCTAATGTAGAACCCTAATTAGTAGGATCCTAAATATATAAGGACCCCAAAATGAGGTAGCTTTAATGTTCGGAAACTCCCCCATGGCTTCAAAATGCTTCGGGGAGTTAGGGCTCAATTATAGATTTTGCTAGGCTCTTCTAGGGCTTCAGGAAATTTAGGGCTTGGGGTTGTTTGGGCTGTATAGGCGCTTGGATGTTTTGAGGGCGTGTAGGGCTGAAGGCTTCTAGGCGTCGAGGGGATGTAGGGCTTCATTGTTGGCGTTGCAGAGTTTCCGAAAATAGGGGACCCTAATATAGCACCCTAAATAGTAGGATCCTTATTACAAGGGCCCCACAATAAGGCACCCCCAATTTTCGGAAACTCCTAAACCCTAAACCCTTTATAGAACCCTTATAGATCCCTTTAAAGGAACCCTTAAGAGGACAATAAGGTGGGTTTCAGAGTTTCGGGTTCAGGCTTTGGGCTTTGGGGGGTTCGGGCCCCGGCTTTCTGCTTTGGGGCCGACATCGTGGAGTCATTCTAGTCGTGGTAGTTGAAGCCCAGGTAATTAGGGGTACCTTATATCAAGAATTTAAGGGTTCCTTAAAGGGATCTAGAAGGGTTCTATAATAAGGGTTTAGGGTTCATATAGGGTTTAGAGTTTCCGGGAATTAGGGGTACAGTCTTTTGGGGCCTTAATAATAAGGATCCTACTATTTGGGGTACTATATGGTCCCCTATTTTCGGAAACCCCCAGGTATGTACGAGTTGCCAACAGAAACCCACAGGAACAAGTCTCAGGGCCCCAGGCAATTCAAAACATCAGGTTGCCTCCAGGGATGCATTTGCAGGTCGAGTTCCCGTGCTGATATACAGATACAGGCTGACAGGTTGATGTACGTGATTCCACGCGGATTATCGGACACTCAACAGACATCCAAAGGTTGCTCATGGTGACCTGTCAAGTCCCTAAAAACCAACCGCCCGAAACCCGAACCCTAAATCTCGTACGGTTCATGATCATCCCGGAACTCTGCGCCATGCAGTCTCACACTCAACACCTAGAGCCCCCCAAAACCCAAACTCTGAAATCTGGACCTAGACCCCAAACCCAAAACCCTGAACCCCCAAACTTCTACACCCTAAACCCTAAACTCTGTAGTACCCTCATAGAACCCTTAAGGGAGCCCTTGAAGAAACCTTAAACCCCGAAATCAAAACACCAGGGGCAGGCTGCTTCAAGCCACCGGAGCGGCTCCTTCCCAGGATCGGGAGGAAGAACCAGTGTAGCTGAAAGTCTATAAGACTTGGCGGACTTCTGGACCCCTCCTAGAAGTTAAACTTTAAGCCTCCCTATGATAGTTCATATAGAAACCCAAAAAGTTAAAGTCTAAAGAGCCATCCAGAAGAACGCCAAGAAGATTTAGGGTTGGAGGTCTAGGGCTGGGTGGGTTTGAGGGCTGAGGGTTTAGGGTTTGAAGCCACAGTAGCTATAAGATTGAAACTGCGATTATTCTTATGCTAGCGCTCATTAGAACGATCGTGTATGACAACATTCGTAGTAGTTGTTGTAACACTACTATACGAGACAAGCTACATCAATATTAAGAAGAAGCATCATGATAAGCCACAAAGCTACCCACAAAGCTACCAGCTTTATAGGCCTATGCTGTTTGGAAACGAATCTTGGAGTTCGGGGCCTCAAGACCCCAAGCGGTTGCTGTGTTAGGAAATTCCCTTGAGGGCTCCTGGTATAATGTAGGGGACTGGTACTAAGTAGAATAGGGTCTTGGGGGGAGTTTATGCGGCTTTGCTATGACTGGGTTGGCTTTTAAACACCCTGAAAAATATTTATATATAGGGTCCCTTATAAACCCAAATAAGGAAAATAAAAAATGTCCCAAAATCCAACCTAGATGAGCCCCTCAACTAAATACCTCGCGCCCTAAACCCTGGAAACCCCAGCCCTCACCCTCAGAACCCAGCTTGGGGCTTCCGTCAATGACATCGTGGTTGCCGGAACTGTCAATGGTGTAATGTAGGGGCCTTAATACTTAGAATAGGGTCTTGGGGCCCGTTATACTATAAATATAATGAGGAACCCCCCAAAACAGTATTGGTAAAATTATTAAGGCCGCTATAGTAGGCTTTAGCGAGCCTGTTGATCCTCCATAGAGGATTCGTAGTTTAAAGCCGGGCGACGACCTTGACACACCTGGTCAAGCTCGTCCTCACTCCACCAGCGAAATCTTGACAAACAAGTGCAGGACGGCTCAAAGCCCTGAACCGCAGCAAAATCTAGCACCTAAACACCATCCCCGACAACCCCGTATGTCCTACATACAAGGCTCACTACTGCACATCCCCCGTGGCAACCTGCCAGGCAAGATCGAACGTCCAATTCGGTTTAGTGGATGATTTAGGGTTTTAAGCCTTAAGGGTACCGAGGGTCAAGGGCTTAAGGGCGTATGGTTTAGGGAGTAGGGAGTTGGGCTTGGGGTCTAGGGCCAAGCTTAACCAGCAACTCTCAAAATCCCCGGAAGCCGCCAAACGGTTCATGGGTAGTTATAAGTGGGGTTATAAGCCCCCTAATATGGCTTATAAGTATAGTTACCCTACTTATAACCCTACTTATAACTGCCCTGAACCCTAATCCCTAAACCCTAAACCCTATAGATCCCTTTAAAGGAACCCTAAACCCTTGTAACCCTACTTATAACTACCCCTGAGGTCCTTTGGGTTGCCGCCGGCCTTGCGACAAGAGCCTGGCGAGCTGATACACCCAGCTACGGGTCTAGATACTTAAGTGCAGATATGTGTATGTGCATATAACATATATATATATATACCTACATGTGTATATATATACATACATACCCCAATCTCCGTGCATGGAGCCATCATGCGTTCAAATGCCATGGTCGCGTCCGGGAGGAAAGATTTTATGCCGCCGGGAATCGCTGCAGTATTTGTCTGCGACACTTCGCCTCCAACTTCCGACTCTGCAATCATCTGCAGCATTCCAAATCATGCCTTGATTCCTTGATTGCTGCTGGGGAACCGGGTGCTCCTCAACCAGGGCGGGGGAGTCGTAAGTGCAACTCTGGGGCTGAGCAGCTATGCCCGGCGGTCACCGCGGCAGGGCCGGTCCCAGTGAGACAGGTTGCTGACTACGTCCCCGAGGCTGATCGCCCTGAGCCCTCCATCCTCTCGGCTCTTGAGATGATTTATGCCTTTCCGGAGGAGTGGTCTTGTTTCCAGACCTTGCTTGAAGCCGTCCGGGATGCTTTTAGCAAGAAGTGCCTGCAGGTGTCGAGGCTGCGGGCCGCTGCTGCACAGTGGTGGGCGAGCCTCCAGGCTGAGCTCGAAAGGTGTGACGACGTCCCTGTTTTATGGGCCGCTCACCATCAGCGCATTGCCAGGATGTTGCTGAAAGTTGACTTTGTCACTTGGCTTGCTCCTGCGCCCACTGTTTCAGGCCCTCAGATTTCGACCTTCCGGGACGCTGCCACGGTTCTGCCCTGGCTTGTCTTGGACCTCGTTCAGTTCCCTCCTGCGAGGCCGTCGCCAGATGATCCACACTGGATTTCTGCCCGCTCTCCACCACGAATCTGCTCTGTGGTTGAGTCATGGGAGTTTGTACCTCATGATTCCTGCATTGCGAATTCTGGACTTCTGGATTTCGATGCCTGGTGCCAATCCTGTGATGGCTGCGTGCGGGGTTTGAGTCTCCTTGGACTTCTGTCTTCGCTCCAATGTCCTTCTTCTACTCGCTCCTACAAGACTTTGCAAGAGCCCCTGCAGAAGCTTCGTCTCTTTGCAGACATTGTTCGGGGTCTGATTCTGCTATGGTCAGTTGGTCGGCCTGCCTTTGTCATTGCACCGTCCATTGCCTGTCCTGGACTTGAGACCGCTCGGCAGCTCGCAACAGATGTAGTTGAAGTAGATGGACATACTGCCCTTGCCATCTTTCCCGGGGTTGACAGGCATGTTACCCGTTTCACCTTTTCCTAAAGTGCATTTTAGGCTGCATCCGACATGGATTCCGTGCCTGGAAAGTGAAAAAAAGTGATATATATATATATATATATATATATATATATATGTAGAGAGAGATATATAGAAAGATAAATAGATAGATAGCAGTTGTTTATTGCTTGTTTGCGTTTTACCGTTTCTAGGGGGAGGAGTCAGCTGCCCCACTACAGTGCCCGGCTCGGCCCGGAAGTGGGCGGTGGTAGGGTCCGAGGGAATGTTATGGGGGATACTTCCCTAACTCATAATACTAATTCCTTTTATAGAATCCCTACATTCTACTATAAAGGTACTTTGGACCCTTTGGTACGGGCTTAGGGGGCCTAGGGCCTAAGAGTATGGGTGACAACCCAATCACTCTAGCAAGAACCGCATCTTCCGAACTGCTTCAGCAGTTTCTCATGGATTGTTATGGCAAGGCAGTTTGATAGCAACCGCCGGCCGATGCCCACAACGACAAATGCAAGTGCTACGCGATGCTGGCTTTCGGGTTGAGGAGTAGCTATAGGCTTAAGTTATTTACCTTTTTGACGTTTCGTTGCTAAGTTTGCGTTGAGGCTGATGGCCAACGTATGTGTACACATACACTTGTCTCTAAGAAGACATTGCAAACCAGGGCAGCAAACCCAAACCCTATATAAAACCCTGCAAACTAAACCCTCAATCCTCAAAGGCCTCAAGCAGGGCTCGCATCCACGAGAGAGCACGCCACAACCAGGTCCTCAAACCCGTAAACCCGTCAATGTGTTACCAAACCCTTTGTGGATCCCAAAACCACGCACTCTAGATCCCTTATAGCCACCATAACGCCTCCCCCTTCAATTAACAACAACTGCCCCCACGACAGAAAACCAAGAGGTGCAAAACCCTGAACCCCTAAACCCCGAAGCCCTAAACTCTAAACCCTAAACCCTACACCCCAAACCCTGAACCCAAGCTCGCTGGCAGTCTGAGTCGGTTGATGATACACATCCTGCATTACCCATAATAATAAGGAATATACCATAATCCCCATAGTTTAGGGGCCTTAAGGTAATGCAAGATTTATATCATCAACCGGTGCGCTCCTGTCGCAGTGCCCGGCAATGCTCAGCGGCTTGCAGGACCAAGTCCTCCTCGGTCTGGGGTCCCCAGAGACTCCAATATCCCTTAATTAAGGAATATTCCTTAAATTATGGTAGTATGCCTTTTATGATTTAAAGTATATTCCATGATTAAGGGATATTGGAGTCTCTGGGTCTAATCTAAGGCTTGGCCGATTGGGCTAGGGTTTAGGCGTTTGGTTTAGGGGTTAGGGGTTGAGGAGTTTAGGGTTTAGGGTCTAATCTAAGGCTTGGCCGATTAGTTTGGGGGTTCAGGGGTTGACGGGTTTAGGGGTTCAGGGGTTGGGGCTTTAGGGGTTTAGGGTTTAGGGGTTCAGGGTTTAGGATTTGGGAGTTCCGGGTTTCTTTGGATCTGCCTGTCGACGCAACAATGATAGCAATAAGACTGCTAATAGCAACATGTTACAAGTACCATGGAAACATAAACCTGCCCCTCAAGCCCTAAAACCCTGAAGCAAACAACCGTTCAATCTTGAGGGCAATGACGGGGCCGCATGTGGCATTCAAAACTCGCATTTAGGAAAAAGTCTCGGGATCCTGAACGTGTTTAGGGTTTTTGGACATGTTCCTGAAAGGAAACAACATGAAATGAGCGTGTAATTTTTCCCCTGTTACTTCAAAGCCCAGCTAAACCCAACTGCAGAGCACAGGGTGCCAGGGCTCAGGGTCTGCTTGGGTGTCACGTGGGCAGCTCTCTAAATTAGGGTCGCATTTAGGCTCCTTCTTTTAAGGGTGCCGTACTATTCTGGGGACCCAGAAAGGGACGGTAGTGGACGACCCTGAGTATCATGCTGAACATTGTAGCGGATTTGAGTGTTTGTGGCTTTATGTACATCCTGGCCCTATAACCCCCCACATAGTACGCAGGCTTCATGCCAGGAATCCGGTTCCTACATTAGCACATCGTCAGCCAGCCGGGCTTTAAGCTTTTTAGGAGTTGGAACGGGGTCGGTCTGCGGTACAAGGCCTCAAAAGCTTGGCTGAGGATTTGGGATTTCAAAGTTGCTGAGACTGAGAATTGTGTGTGGTATCCCGAATCCCTAGAACCAGAAACCACTCCTGGTTTAGCAGCTTGAAAGAACTTTCGGCGTTCCGGGACGTAGTGCTCAGAGGCGCGGGATCCATATCTTCTCTGCTCAGAGGTGTGGAGTTTCAGGAGAGATTTAATAATCCCATGGGCCCATTCTGTTGTAGCCACAGAGGGAACAACTCTAGCTGTCCATACCTTTGTACAGAGTAGTTGCTCCTTGGGCTGAGCCTTCCGGGGTGTAGGCTTTAAGGCTTAAGATCTTTGATTCTTAGAGGTTTCAAGTCAGGTGCGGATTTTCAACAGGTTTTGGTAGCTCGGCCTCGTGGTGGAAGCCTGCAGAGTTTACTTGGTTTCTGAGGTTGTGGATTCAGGGGAAAAGAGAGAAACGGTTGATGATATAAATCCTGCATTTCCCATCATAAGGAATATACCATAATTCCCATAGTTTAGGGTCCTTAAGGTAATGCAGGATGTATGTCATCAACAGAAGGACACCGATCAACACAGTGGAGCTCATGGCTTCGAATACAGAGAAGTCCTGGGGATTTCTTCACGTTCGTCGTGTCCGATTTTTCAGGAACCTCATAGCTTATGTTCTATAGCAGCGCCCTTGGTTTTAAATCCAAGGGGCAGCCCGGGACTTTCGGGCTTCTGGGTATATGGGTGGTTTTCACAATTATGGTCCCTTTTTGGGTACCCTAAATACTAGGTGCCGTACTATAATAGGGACCCAGAAAGGGGCCATAATTTTGACAACTACCCATATGGTTCAAGCTTGGCTTCGGGATTTAGGCTTGCGTCCTGTATGTCGACATGACAAGCCATGGGCAAGCTTGGCGCAGCGAGCATTGCGCACATGGAAGAAGCTGTGTACTAGACTCTTCACTTCAGATGCCTCTTGTACGAGGGCCTGAAAATTTGGAAACAACTATCCCTTATGCCTAGAGTATGATACAGTATGCTCCTAAGCTTTAAAGCCCCGTTCTAGTTTCTCCCCTTCTCGGGGCCAACATAAACCCCAAACTGTCTGTCTTCACTCTTTGGGGGGGACGGCGTGAGGGCCTGCGCGCTCCTTCAAGGTAACTTCATGCCGTCCGAAGGAGGGTTGAGGGTTCGGGGCTTTGGGTTCAGGGAAACCCTAGACCCAAAACCCAGTTTAGGGTTTGGACGAAGGACAAAAGCGGTTGCAGGAAAACGGCTGGCAGGAGCTTGTGAATTTGCTTCTTTAAATCATGCGGAGGAGCTTTGCTGAGAACGTGCTCCATGTCTGGAATCATTTGCACGTCGCCTTTGCTTCATAAACCGTATCTTCTAAACGCGTTTTCCTTCAGCTCGCTTTTGTCACACAGTCAAAAATACCCCCAATATAGCGGTCTGATCCTGCTCTCTCGCTTTCACTTCCTATACACCTGTTCTGAGTAGTCAGACCCCTACGTTAGACCGGAAGCTTGCACCTCAGAGTGTGGGGATACCCTAAATGCTTACCCATAGGCCCCATAGTAGTTCCTTTTCGGAGTTCATACTTAGAATCCTGCCAGGTAATCCCCAAAAAGGAACCACTATGGGGCCTATGGGTATGTTTCATGCCTTAGAGTGTTGGGATACCCTAACCCTACCCCCAAATAATCTACCTCTGTAAGGCCTTTGATAAGGAAATCATGATAGGGAGCCCGAAAAAAGGCAGGGTTTATAGGATCCCTAAACCCTAAACCCTAAACCCTAAACCCTAAACCTCTGCTTTTGGGACCCGGCGGCCCCCCAGTTTTCGGTTTTCAGGGAGGATCCTGAAGAGGCCTTCTGTTGCTTCCGGGTCGAAGGTGTGGGCTGCAGGCTACGGGTACCCGGTTTAGGGCTTAGGGGTTTAGGGTTTAGGGCTTAGGGTTTAGGGCTTAGGGTTTAGGGTTTAGAGGTTTGGGGTTTAGAGTTTAGAGGGGTTTAGGGTACCTTGTTGAGGGGTTCTCTCATGAAGAGGATCCTCCTGCTTGCGTTGGTGAGGGGATAGAATGGCCCAGCCCCTATCCGCCCTAGCCGTATGTGGTTAGTAGTCAAAATTATGGCCCCTTTTGGGGTACCCTAAAATATTCGGTGCCGTATTATTGAAGGACCCAAAAAAGGATCATCATTTTGACAACGACCCCATGTCGCAACATCAGGGAATGACCTCAACGAAAGCAGTAACCCCTCATGTCAGAGTATCTAAACCCAGGAACAGGCAAGGCCCAGGCGGTTTGGGGTGCACTGTTTACAGCCATCTGCAAAAACCTATAAACCCTAAACCGTCATCATATAGAGGCCTTCGTAATCCCTAAAGACCTAAAACCCTATAAACCCTAAACCGTTCAAGAATTCTCACAACCTCCACTAGGATACCCAGTAACCTAAGAATAAAAAAGCCTCTCTTTTTGGTATTGGGTAACTTCATAAGGAACCTAGGACTACAAAAAGGGAATAAGGGTACTACTGGGCATCCTAGTGTCACAACCTCCATCTTCAAGGCCCTGACGCCCAGGCTTCATCTTCTCTCGTCTTGAGGCTTTAAGAGATGAGGATAGGGTTTCAGGTCAGGGGGCTCTTCCTAATTTAGAATAGGGGTTTTGGGGGGTCCCTTTATAGTAGGATTATAAAATCAGGGACTCTGGGGAATCATGTTGGCAATTACGAAGGCTTCTATATGATGACGGTTTAGGTTTTATAGGGTTTTAGGGCTTAGGGATTACGAAGGCTTCTATACGATGGCCTTCATTGCGGCCTGTAGGGCTTACCGTTCAGGGTTGAAGGTTCATGGCTTGAGGCTTGGAGGTTTAGGGCTTCCTGTTGTCGAGCGAAACGCCTTGGGATCTGTATTTAAGGTTAAACGTCCTGGGATCTAGGGATTGTACGGTTTCAAACATTTTAGAGTTCAGGGTGCTGGGCTCATTGTGTTGGGGTTTCGGGAACCCGAAAGACCCGACAACACAACCTCCAAATCTTGAGTCCTGCATAGATCACATTCAGACGCGGCAGCTGCAGCATGCAGGGTTTTGGCAGGGGCAGGTGGCGCAAGCTCACCGAGGGTTCTCGGTTCGACTGCTGAAACTGAAATCTACGCCAGGCCGAGTTTTACAGCCGGGCTGAGCTAAGTTTTCGAGGCTTATAATCGCAGCCTCATATTTCACGCATGCTTCGAATTCTCTCGCTCTAAGGCTACGGGCCCTTGACCGTGGCTGGGGCCAAACCAATTATGTAGGCCTCCGTTATTCTTCATCTTTAATACGTGTTCACGCGTTTATCTTGTATATACATGTCTCTGTGAATGTAGATCCCATGCAGTCCCTCTCTGTAGTTTTGAGTTATGGTATAACGCGCTCCAAAACCCTATACCATTTATCAGGGCCAGGAAATTAAACCATAGAAGAACCCTACCACGAGAGTTCATGAGACCGACTTCTCCTCCGACTCCTCCACGAGGTTAGCCCTGTTGTAGGCCACCCAGACAACACCCGTCTCAAACTCCTTGGCTTCAGGCTTAGGGTTTGGAGCTTGTAAAGTTTAACCTAAAAAACTAAACCCCTAAACCCCTAAACCCCAAACGCTAAACCCTTAGGGCTCAGGGTTTATCGGGCCTCCGGGCCTGATATGAGGCTTCCGGTTGAGGCCGCGTAAACGGCTACCCCCCAACAGCTGCACTCCCCAGCCCCGAAACCCCAAAACCCTAAGCCCTAAGCCCCAAAACCCTAAACCCTAAACCCCTGAACCACGAACTCTAGACCCTTGGCTGCCGCCACACCTTGCACACCAGAAACCCTCTGATTATTTGGGAGTTTCCGAAAATAGGGGAACCCAATATAGTACCTTAAGTGGTAGGATCCTTATCTTAAGCACTCCAAGATAAGATACCCCTAACTTTCGGAAACTCCCATTTCACCACCGCCACCACCGATGTTTCTTGATACAATCCCGACGGCGGACCCTAGGTAAAGCCCCTATCAGCATGATTCCAGCAAGCAGAAAGCGTGCTTCAGCCCAATACCCTTACTGGTATCTACCCTGCCAAGGCTCTTCGCCTCGACATGTCTCGCAACTCAACCGGCACCATCGGGCGAGGTTCCGGTAGGCATAGGAAGCCTGGGAGAGAGGTATCTTAGCATTCGGGGTTAGGGATTATAATGGGGATTCTAGGGTTTAGCGATTATAGGGTTTAGAGGGGTTAGGGATTATAGGGATTATAGATAGGGTTTAGCGAATATAGGCTTTAGGGGGTTAGAGATTATAGGGACTATAGGGATTATAGGGCAGAGGCTTTAGGGGGTTAGGGGTGATACGGATGATATCGGAGCATCTTGTGAGCTTCAATTCCGGGCCCGGGGCTGAAGGCTGAACCCCAAACCCTGGTGGCCCTACGGCTGATGATAAAAATCCTGCATTACCTTAAGGACCCTTAACTATGGGAATTGTGGCTATACTCCTTATTACGCGTAGTGCAGGATTTATATCCCTAAACCCTAAACCCACCTATAGATCCCTTAAAGGAACCCCTTAAAGGTTCCCTTATAGATCCCTTTAAAGGACCCCTTTAAAGGACCCCTAGGACCGTAGTGGAGTCCGCGTGCGTCCCCGAAGTCCGGCGTCTGACGTCTGTGCGCACTGCTGGGACGTAGCGTTCTTCGGGTTTAGAAGGGTTAGGGATTATAGGGATTATAGATAGGGTTTAGCGACATAGACATGAAGAGTTAGCAAAACATGTGATTGAATTCGGCTAAAGAGAAATGAAGATGTGGCAAAAACTGTTATTAAATTGAAAGGACTCTTGAGGGCTGTCGGCCCTGGCGGAAATTGCTGAGCGAATATAACATCTTAAATCTGAAGCATCACGACCTTGAGCCTACTCATTTTCAATGAACGTCTGCTAATAGCGATCCTGGTCTCCTTCTGTACGAGACTATTTCCATCCATTAAGCTGGATGTTGACTTGGCTCGAACTGTATCAACACCCCACACACTAAAGCGAACCCCTGAGCCACCAAACTAACCTTGAAGCCATAAAGCCCTAAATTCTAAATCTACGCCGCCCCCCCCCTATTTGCCCGCACCCATTGCAAGCTTGATTGTTGCCCGGTAGTCTCCCTAAGAGCTCAGTCCAGGATCCACCTGCATTTGTCATGCAAGAAGGCATCCTTGGGAGCCATCTGAACTGTACCATTCGAACAGTCCAACCTGTACTCTTTGAGAGCTGCCAGAACACGATATATATATATATATATATAGAGGTATGTATACATGTATGTATATATATATATATATGTATGTATATATATCTATATATATATATGTATGTATATGTCATATGATATATATATATATATATATATATATATATGATATATATATATATATATATATATATCATATGACATACATATATATATATATATATATATATATATATCCGTCAACGGGGGGGCGACCATATATATATATATATATATACTTATCATAAGCAACATGTAAGTATGTGTAGAGGCATACCCCTGCCCTTGAACAAGATGGGGATGGATACAGTGTAGGGTTGTGGGCAAATAGGGGGGGTGAGGGTAAATCTATAGACCCGAAGCCGCAAAACCTAATAAACCCTAGAAAACCCCTTCTAGAGACCTTTCTGCAAGGACAAGAGGCCAAGTAATGATTGTAGAGCTGACTCTTTCTCTGCACAGCCCTGCCATAAAGCTCTCCAAGCAGACCAATGTAGACGTTCAGGAACACCTTTCCATTGAGATACGATGACGGGGGGCTTGAAAGTTAGCACAGGCATTAGGTAGAACTTCGAAGTGCTACATTTCCCCTGAACCAGCCTAGGTGTGACTGTACGAACGTGTAGGCTCGCTTAGAAAGACTTACCTGGTCGGGCTTCGCATCCCATGAGAGACTCAATGTTGTTGTGGCGCCTGGGTAAGTGGTAAGCTCTAGGCTTCTAACAATGCAGAGACACTGGGTAGACCTTACCTGTTTCGGCCCCATGATACAGCAGGGCAGCGAACAGATGGAGAGTGGCACAAAGCATAGCTTTCAGACTAAACTTTAGGGCTGCTCTATGAAAGCTCTCGGGTGCTAGCGGTTCGGGCGCCCGCTATAAGGGCACGGTGATTGGTTCAGGGCCTATGCTCGAGGATCCACCACGGCACTCCCAATCGATAAGCAGACACCCATAGAAATGTGTGTGTGTGTGTGTGTACCAGCAGGTGTGTGTGTGTGTGTGTGTGTATCTCTCTCCCACTCTCCGTCTCCCCATACATATGTACATATATATATATATATATATATATACATATATATATAGATGCACACATAGTTCAATGTTCTTTGGAGTATGTAACTTGCAACTTCTACATGCAGGAGTCAACATTGCCGAAGGTGCAAGTTATTCGATAATGGTTTCGATTACCGGGTTTCGGTATTGATATATGCATATATATATATATATATGTATATATGTACATATGTCTGTATGTATGTCTGTATGTATCTACGTACGTCTGTATGTATGTGTGTACGAACGTATGTATGTACGTATTTATGTATGATGTGTGTATGTATGCACATTACATACATCTACCCACACAAACATACTGCGCATGGTACAGGTAGCACAAGCTTGGCCATTACGATGCTCTGGGCTCCTGCATGTGCACAAGTAGCAGCTTCACTGTGTTTTCACTTGGCAACGAATGTTGAACCTGTGCTTTCTTGCACTCCTCACCTAGAAACTTCTGCTGCTGAGCTTGCCTCCTGAATACAGGATCGTGCCCGTAAGATAGGTCATCCAGAAACAAGAGCTGTAATTCAAGGTCTCCCTATTGTCCCCATCGTAGTTCCTGTTGTGGTTAAACAATTGTATATTCAGGGTCCTGTAATGTAACCCCAAAGACGAACTAGAATGGAGACTAAACCCTAAACCCTAAACCCCTAAACCCTAAACCCTAATATAGGTAGTAAACCAAAGACTCCCGTCCAGGGCACCACGTTCACTACCAGGCTCAAGACCACGAACTCCGCACGAAGGCTTTTGTGGAATTCCTGGCTCTTCAGGCTTTAGGGTAGGAGGTGTGTAACAGTGCAACCTTCCTCGACTAAGATACTCTAAACCCTCAATCCCGAACGAATGCCCTGAACCTAAGCTCAAAATCCTAAACCTAAACCCTAAAACCTCAATCCCCAAAAACCTAAACCCTAAAACCTCAACCCACTCCGAAAACTCTTAAAGACTGCCAGAAGATCCTCCACATCATGTAGTGAACCTGTTCCCCAGGAGACCAGGGATTGAGCTTCCCAGAGCCAAAAAGAGAGGACTCCGACAAAGATATTGGTTGGAGCCGGTCACCGCGGTTTAGGGTTTAGGCTTTAGGGTTACAAACCCCTCGACCACACGACGTCAGATGGTTGGGACTCAAGCAATACCTCCACTAAAATCCTCAACATAGCCTGCAAGTGGAGACTGCACCGACGCGCTCGCCCAGTTTGTTGAAACTACCCACACATCTGCCGAACTCCAGACTCTGAACCCTGCACTCTGCACTTTAAACTCCAGGCTCTGAACTCTCAACTCTAGATTCTAAACCTTGCACTCTAAGTTCTAAACCCTAAACTGCCCTAAACCCGGAACCCTATACCCTAAACCCTATCCCCTCTTCAAGGAACCCTGCTTCTAATTATGATGGCCCTCTTATCACGATTAAGAAGAGAACAATTCTAAACCATAAACTCCGAACTCCAAACCCTAAACTCGAAACTCTAAAACAAACTCTACACCCTAAACCCCAAACCCCAAACCCTAAACCCCTAAAACCCTAAAACGCCTAAACCCCTAAAACCCCTAAACCCCTAAGGAAATTTAAGATAATTCCTAAAACAAACTACACACCCTGAAACCCTGACTTCCATAAACTCTAAAAACCCCCAAACCCCGAAAACCGGAGACTCCAATATACCTTAGTTAAGGAATATTCCTCAAATTATAGTAGGATCCTTAATATGATTTAAGGAATATTCCCAAATTAAGGAATATTGGAGTCTCTGGGTTCTGAAACCCTAAACCCTAAAACCCTAAACCCTAAACCCTAAACCCTAAACCCTAAACCCCAAACCCCTAAAACCGGAGGCCAGGTTCGTTGTCGGCGGCTTCGGGCTCCATCTCGCCTTCCACGGAGTGGTTCGTAAGGAAGGTCCTGGGCTAAAAAATGGGGGTTTAGGGGTTTGGGGGTTAGGATTTAGGGTTTAGGGATGTTTAGGGTTAAGGAGGAAGGTCCTGGGCTAAAAAAGGAAGAGCGGTTTTTTTTTTTTGTTTAAGGGCTCTTTTCCACCTGCAGATACAGTTAGAACTCCTGTACTAGGAGGAGCCAGTGGTTAGGGTTTAGGGCTTAAGGGTAATTAGGGGTATTTAGGGATGTTTAGGGGTTTAGGGGTTAGGGTTTAGGGCTTAGGGTTTGGGGTAAAAGGGTTTGGGTTTATCCTGTGCTTCGTTTTAGGGTTTAGGGTCCTGGGCGTTTTAGGGTTTAGGGTTTAGGGGTTTGGGGGTTAGGATTTAGGGTTTAGGGATGTTTAGGGTTAAGGAGGAAGGTCCTGGGCTATAAGTTGATAAGCGGTTTAGGGTTTCGGATTTAAGGGCATTTAGGGTTTAGAGGGGCCTTCAGGCTTTAGGGGTATTCAGGATTTGGGGGTATTTGGGTTTAGGGGTATTTGAGATGTAGGCCACTTTTTCGTCGTGGTGTTGGCAGTTTCAAACGCATTTTGCGTAGCAGGCCAGGGACTCATGAATATAGGTGATTTCTTATACCTCTACAAACTCATCTTCTGTATGAGGTAATGATGATCGTATGGCTTCTTTATCATCTCGCCGTCACTATCTCGTTGTGCACTCTGTTCTGCAAAGAAGCACAAATGCTACATTACCGGTGTTTTGGGCATGCTCGCACAAGGCATCACCGCTTGTGACAGCGCATCAATGTTGATCAAGTGGCAAAAAGTTGCAAATGCCAGCACTTTGGCCGTCGCACGAGGCATGAACGCTTGTGACAGTGTGTCAATGCTGATAGAAAGGCAAACACGCTGCAAATGCCAGTGTCTTGGGCACGCTCGCCGTTAGAAGCGACCTCACTATCCCCACCACCACCATCGGAAAACAAACTGGAAACAAGGCATATAACAAGGAAAGCGCAGGGAACTTGAGACGCGTCGACCTTCTATAAGGGTTGACTGGCTCCATCTTCCATAGAAGTTGTTGCTTTGGGTTGAGAGTTAAGACTTTAGGTAGGGGCTAGGTTTTGGATTAGGGTTTAAGAACCCTCAAAGGTAAAGCTTGGATAGCGAAGTTGAACGGATTCGGGTCTAGTGCTTCTGGATGTAAGGATATGATGGAGGTCCAGGTAAACTGAGGTTCCAGTGCCCTATCTTTAAGCCTTAAGATCCAAGCTCCAGAGCTTACCTAGACCACATGATAGCCATGATCATGGAGCAAAAGACGAGGGTGCGAGTACTGTTGGCTGCTGGCTTACAATCGAGCCCACCCTCGGCAAAAAAATCAGTACTGATCCTCCGTACATCCCATCCTTGCATCCCCAAAGCCCCTACAGTACTAGGGTTTAGGTTTAAGGGTTCAGGGTTCAGGGTTCAGGGTTTCGGGTTTAGGGTTTAGGGTTAGGGTAGCGCAACCTGCTCCGAGCTGATCAATACCGGCCAAGACACCCATGAAACTCATCGCCCAATCCTTCCAACTCGCTGAGGCTGAAATCCTGCAAGATTAGGTTCTACTTAGAGGATCATGGGACTTGGTGAGTAGGTTATAGTCGGGGTTATAAGTCTCCTAAGTGGGGTTATCCTAATTATAACCTACTTATAACCTTACTTACTAAGTCCCATGAGCCTTCAAGTAGGGTTTAGGGTTTAGGGTTCCGGGGTTTAGGGTTTACGGGTTTAGGGTTTAGGGTCTAGTTTAGGGATTAGGTTTTAATCTTTTGGTTTTGGCTTTAGGGGTGGGTCTAGCATGTAGGGGCATCAGGGTTTAGGGCACTGGCACCCAACTCCTCACAAAAAGATGATTATAAACCCGAAAACTTAAAACCCACATATGCCAAGACTGAACTAGCCCCCCCTTGGATAATGAAAGCAATATGTTGAATATCCTCTTGGTTTTGATATGAACAAAAATGCTTTTAAAAAATCCTAAGGAGACCATCGTGAAACCCTAAGCTGCAGCCCGAAACGCTAAACCCTAATGCCCAGCACTTACACCCGCACAGACGGGCACTGCAAAGTCTCCAGGAGTTTGGGTGGCGAAGCTGTAGCTGTAGTATAGGGCCTTAATAATTAATTGGGGTGTTGGGGGGGGGGGGGGTATTTTATACCATAGTTACAAAGGGAACCCCCAAAATAGGCCTGCAAGAGTGCGAGAACTTAGCATTGCGCTAGAAGCCCTCATTGCAGACCAATAGAGCCTGGCACGAACCTTTGGAAATCCGTTCAGCTCAAGCAGCCCATGATGAGGAACCCGGAACTGCGGGTTAGGGTTTAGGGTTTAGGATTGAACTATTCCGAAGGCGCAGGACGATTTGAACTACAAATTCGGGGCACTGAAATCCTAAACCCTCAATTCCCCAACCCCGAAACCCAAACCCGAGCTGAAAGCGAACAAACCCCAACCAGAAGCCTTCCTCCGGCACCCTATACCTATACACCCACAACCCCAACACCCTCACACACTACACGGATTTAGCCGTCAAGCGCTAGGTGTAAGAACTCTGTAAACATTGCCACGTCGGTCCCCCAGAATTTCGAGGCGGAAGATCTTCAAGAAGGTGTTCCTTGACTCAGAGTATAAGCTTAGTTGCTTAGCGGCTTCGGGCTGAAGATCTGGGAATCTTTAGGGGGTGCTTGGTTCAGGGTTTAAGGAAAAGGACGGTCATGCATGTATGCAACAAGGGCAAGAACGGTTACGCTTAGTCCTCTTCTCTCAAGTCCTCAGCGCGAGTCAACATCCCTGTTTTCCTGAATGCAAAGCCCTGCATCAATTCCGAACTTGAAGATTTCCCTTTGGTTAATATAGTACCCTTATAGTAACCCTTATAGACCCCATTCCTCCATTCCCTACTAACCAAAGGTAAGAAGAAAGGCTTTAGGATTGCAACGCGGATCCTGACGCAGCCGTTCCCAGAAGCCTTCTGGCTGCTTAGGGTTTAGGGCTTAGGGTTTAGGGCTCAGAAAGTGCAGACGTTGTAAATGGAGCAGAAGAACAAGCGTTTAGATTGTAACCTCTCAAAACGCCTGCCTGTACTGTTACTGCACACATCGTGGTCCCCCGATCCTGAGTATGATCTTCGCATAAGCTTCCAATGAAGGGGCTGGCTTGTCGCTGCCTGCGCGAGCTTCTCCGTGAGGATTTCTGGAGGCTTCAACGAAGTATTTACCCCCGAGATTTGCAGCAAACCACCATGTTCTACACTGCTCTTCAAGGCGTGGCGCATGATGTGGGAGAAGGTCCCCGTGTTCTCCTGGATCGGGAAGACATAGTAAGCATGGAAAGATCCCACAACCACGATGAAGAGGAAGAACAAGAACGAGAGGGACTCTGGCCTGTGGCAAGGATTGAGGAGTCGGGCCAATATACATGTATATATATATATATATATATATATTTGTTTATTTATGATTGTTTGTACATTTAATTAAGGTACGATCGTATATATATATATATATATATGCCTAACGCAGTTGGGCTTCTGGCAGATGTATTTCAGAGTTGGGGGTTTCAGGATTGCTAATCTGGGGTTTCGCTCTGTGAAACCAGGCCCTGGCCCTACACCCTAAGCTGAAAGCACTGAGCCATGCAGCCACAAACCAAACCTAAACCCCACACCTACGCGCTAATTTCAACCCCAAACTCAAACCCCAAGCGCGAACCGCAAACCTCGACTCTAAACCCTGTACCCCAAGCCCCTAAACCTTCGGAGAATCAAGGTCTTGGGTTGAAGCCTGGCCAAAGACCTTCAAAGTGCATGAGTCCCAGGGGGCCAGGAACAGCTAGTGTTCGAAGTTTGGGAGAATATTAATGGCCCTTCGTTATTTGTAATACGTATGGCCCAAAACATGCTACAAGTACCACAACAGGGGATACAAGTGACTACTGTAAAAGTGTAGCTAGCCTAACCTGAAGGACGAATTGATCCTTACAAGTAGGGGCCCTATACCCATATACTATGAATCCCTATAATGGTATATGAACCTTAAACCCTTTTAGGGTTCATTTCGTCCTTAAGGTAAGTCCCCCGACCGCTTGAGTCAGGTCTTCAGTTGGCCCTCCGCAGCAATGCTGCCTCGAGATGGCATGAACGACCGGGACGACGTTCCGCCCCAATTGCCTAAGCTTTGCAGTAGTCGGGAAAAGAACAGTATCAGCTTGTCTTTCGGTTCCGTCGAATACAAGGTCCCCAAAACAGTGATAAAGCATCACCCTAAACCCCAAACCTTATATATATATATATATATATATATATATATATATATATCCTAAACCATAAACCCCAAAAACCTTAAAGTATGATACTCCAAAACCCAGTGGCTCGAGTTGCAGGAGACCGATGGCCAGCTGTGTCCACCGCACCCTCCACGCAAGGATTCGGGGGGACCAAATGTAGGGGTTTAGGGTAGGGATTTAGGGGTTTAAGGTTTGGGGGTTTAGGGTTTGGGGGTTTAGGGTTTAGGGTTCGGGGGTTTAGGGTTTGGGGTGTAGGGTTTAGGGTTGATCACTCAGAGACAGGGTTTGGGGGGTAGATAATAACTGTCACCAATTAGCGAGGCTTGGGGTTACGGAGCGACCACCCCGGCGAAACAGCAACGATCCTCGCTTCTGTGGCAAAGAGTGAGGATTGTGGCCTTGCCCTAACCCCTAGCTAAGCCGTAAAACGAACCAGACTTTAGTTTAGGGTATGGGAACTTTAGGGCCTACAGAAACTCCAGAGCGGAAATCGATCCAAAATGCTCCCTGTCGAGTAGATACAGGCGAAAAGTGGAACCAAAGATCAGTACACGGCGGCCCATACGGTCCAAAGAGTTGACCGAGGCTCACGCAGTTTTTTGGGTCATGAGCGAAAACATTTGAACTCTCGACCTGTTGGAAATGCCTGTCCAGCTCTGTGAGTCACGGTCCCTGGGAAAGTCCTCAAAATAGCACAACGCTCTTGTGATAAGGACCACAACTGTGATCCTGATCTGTAATGTACCATGCAACCCACCACGAGGGACCCTGAGCTAGACCAGGGTCGAACCCAACCCCTCAGAAAACCAAAACCAACTAAGGCCAAAGCCTGAACTCCGACTGCTTCAGGCTACTTACAGTCTATACAGTAAACCCAAAAGACTTGAAAACCGGAGTAAGGATAATAGTGCTGAGATCCCCTACATATTACTGTTGACTGGCGCTATTGGGTTTCCATCTTTGTGGCTTCTGCTGTAGAACAACTGAACCAGTAGCATCATAGCTTCCTCGTTTCTGCGTGAGTGCGAACTGTATGGAAGGCTCCATGGACCCTAAACCCTAAACCCCAAACCCTACACACCTAAACCCTAAACCCTAAGCAGAAACCGACCCCGCCAACCCAAAGTCGTCGTAGAACCCAGAACACTAAATCCCTCAACTCTGAACCCCTCAACCGCAAACCCGGAAACTCCGAAACCGCTGCGCCCGCCCTAAACCCTAAACCCTAAACCCCAGACGAGGCACAGCACCAGAAAGGACAGGAAGCCAGGGTGTAGTCGAAACAAAGTCCAGGCCCCCTCTCCCGTGTCCTCGGTCAATATTGGGATAGGATGAAAAATGTACATTTTTATTTCTTATTGGGTTTAAGTACCCATAAAAATGCAAAATGTTACCCAACTGTGACAAAGTATCCCAGATCACATAGACTAAGAAGCGATAAGCAAAGTACCTGCGATGTGAGTGGTTGGCAAAATTGGGTCCCTTTTTGGGTCCTTACTATAGTACGGCACCTAATAGTTAGGGTTCCAAAAAAGGGACCATAATTTTGACAACCACCCAGGTGGCCGATGGACAAAAACCCTGCTTTGCTGCATTGTCTTAGATACTTCAGGCTACTGCCCATCGATTCCACCGCTCAATTTATTACAGAACACTACCCTACCCTATACCCCAAATCCCCATCCCCTCCTTCGATTTGGAGCGGGTTCGAACGAGGAATTTCTAGATGGGGTTCCTGCATCACTCGGCATCATCAATGCTCTTCGTCTTGGGACAGAGGGTTTGGTGGGTTGGGATCTATGCTTTGGGATTTCGGCTCTTTGGCTTCGGATTTAAGGTTTGGGATTTAAGACACCAAACAAGCAAAAACCGTTGCAGAAGATACACCGAGGTGCGTGGAGAACAGTTCTGTGAAGGACATGACGATGTTCCAAAGCTTCGTGTGCTTGAGCAGTCCCGCAACGAAACCGTCTGACGAGGAGCTGAAAAGCGACAGCCCGCCGCCCAGTTTTCGAATCTTGGGGCACATTATACTATAACTACGTTAATTGGAGAACCCCTAAAGTGTTCTAGGTAATTAAGTATCCCCCCTATAAGTTCACCGGAGCTGGTCAAAACAGCGAAAGAACAAAAAGTTGCCATGAAGACGCATCTACAGGTACCCAACACCGAAAGCAAAGCCAAAATCGAATCGACTACCCGAGGGTAAAAGGAGGGACCCTTAATAAGGACCCTTAGGTATATACCCTTAACATAGCTATTATATACTCATTATATAGCCCATTGTAGGGTCGGGGTCCCCATTAACGGCCCCTCCTTCTCCCCTCGGAGAGTAAGACCAAGCGACAAAAGAGAAGACAACCCAAAAGCTGACACAGAAGAATGATATCTGCACGACCTTCGCAGGCTTATGGTCCGTGTTCACAGCACAGGCCATACGCAGCAGGATGACAAGATACGCCATGTCCTCAGCTCTCACCATCGGCCCACATTTTCGGGACAGGCGTTTCGGGTGTTCCGGGCTGCTTTATAAGAACAGTATAGGGGCCTGACTAATCGGAAAAGGGTTTTGGGGCACATTATACTATAACTAAAAGAATTAAGGAACCCCTCAAATGTTATAGCTAAGTAAGTATCCCCCTATAATAACTTCCCAAGTGGTATCCCCTACCAAACATACGAAGAACAACGGTTACGTCATCTACGGTCAACCGTTCCCTTCAAGAACACTCTTCAGTTGTGGGTGTCCAAGCAGCGACAAACCAATCCACTGCCCTCGCCAACGTTGTGCGATGAAGCGCCTGCTGTGACATCTTCTCGGAGCTATGTCCGTTTGCTTTTGCCGGGTCAAAGCGCTTTTCCTGGCCTTAGTAATTGCCTATAGTATTTTAGAGGTTCCTTTTTATAGTTCTATTAATATATAATTTCCGAAACACCTATTCTCATTTTTCCGAGTTTGGTGTGGAGGGGAGGTGGGCTCCGACTGTAGAGTTTAGGGAAAGGGTCTACACAAAAGTGGGTTGGGCCTCGGCGGACGGATTTTCCTTGGACCCAGCCAGAGGCACCCTCACTAGAGCGGCGCTTCGTCGATTTCCTTCTGTAAGGAGCTCAAATGCGCACCACTTAAAGGATCATGGGCCTAAGTAACTGGGGTTATACGTAAGGTAACTATATTTATAAGCACGTATAAGCCCACTTAAAGTACTTATAATCTGACTTACTAAGTCCCATGATCCTCCAAGTAGAGGGGTGCTTCGCCGTTTCCTCGTTTCCCTTCTGTAAGGTGCTCAAATGCTCACCACCCAAGCGTGCGGGCTTTCATCATGTCGCTGCGATACCCGAAGCATACATCCCAAGGAATCGTGATTCGGAACTTAATGTAAGCTTCCATAATGGGGAAGCACAATGCTTCTCTTCTATATCCCTACTACGATAACAAGAGCCCAGCCAACGAAATCTTCCGAATGACACCTCGTTGAGAAGGGCTTTGGAGAGAACCGTCGTAAAGCAGCGGCTCTCCTTCACATTGAAGATCACACGACTCTTACGCTTTTGCGGGCTGTCTCGGGGGCAGATTTTATCTTAAGACCACTGGTTTGAGGGCTGGGGTTGGCTGCCATAGGTCTTCCATTTCGGATAATGGAGGGTGGTTGGGGTTGACTGGCACGGACTGACCCATATTCAGCAAAATCCAAAGGCCCGCAAGGTTTCACTGCAGCCCGTCCTGCCCGGCATCCACAAGTACCTTGAGCATGAGAGCCAGATCCTCCAAGAGGCAGCAAGCTCACCCAGCTAGGACATCTGAAAGCCCCGATCGATGCAGGGAGTGTCTCGTACTAATTATTAACTATCGTTGTATCATGCTATACAAGCGATACAAGGAAATAGCTCAATTTTTCAGGCCTGTACCCGGTAAAATTAGGCGCATTGAAGCCAGTCCCTACGGTGCGGTGGACGGACATCGCAGAACTGGAACCCACTCAACTCCGAAACAAGATCTCGACGAAAGTTGACTGGCAAAATCTTGCACTGCCTTCGAGGACATTAGAATCCAAGGTTTAAGGCTTAGGGGCTTAGGGCTTGATGTAGGAATCTGATTGCGAAACCCTGGGCCTATAACACCAAAATAGTAGGATTCAAATAAGGAACCCGAAAAAGGGCCCAAGGTTTCTTAATCAGGTTCCCACATTAGGATTGAGGGCCTAAGGGATGTTCGTGCAATGCGACATGCCTCGTCAGTTGGATGCAGCAGCTTTACCGCTGGGGTGATGCTGTAGGTACTCCTCGGTGTCGCTTCAACTTTAGGGTTTGAGCGTTTAGCGCTCAAGGGCTATGATATCCCCTTAAAGCTCTACAGTAAAATAAAAAACCGACTCTATACTCCAAGACCCTGTGCTAGTTGTAACGGCTCCTACATTACAGGGTTCAGGCTTGGTGGAATAGGGTCTTTCGATCGGAGTCTGTGTAAGGCCGCTATCATATCTCAACCATGACACCGAGCCCCTCGAACACCAAAGGCACGAAACAAAAGAACCCCGATTCAGAATGACTCCGATGCCTCGCAGACAAGGGGATTGCAAGATGAATGCCAGTGGAGCTTACAGCCCCTATAACACACTATCATGTGCCCCAGAGCCCTGTTATGAAGGCCCCCTAACACTAAACCCTGTAACCCAAATACAACACGAATTAGAATGTGCTCCAAAACCCCGTTATCAAGGCCCCTATAGTATCTGCTCGACCTGTGCTTTTCAGGTGCGCTCCAGCAGATCAGATCCCTCCTAGGAGGCATCCTAAAGCCGACACTGAGTTTCCCGAAAAACACCTTTGGTTTAGAATAAGAGTCGAAGACCAAGAGTTGGAAACCCGATGGCCTCAAATCCTGAAGAGTCATGTATAAGGAATTCCAGCACACTAACTGTCCTTGATCCGGTTTCCAACTTTTTGGGGCTTACTGTAGAATAAAGGAGACCAAAGTCCTAAAGCCCAACTCACACTACAAGGAAGTTTGCTGCCAGACGTGCAACATCGATAGCAGATGCTCTTTTCTTTGCAAAAAAATCCACAATAAGTGCAATAAAGACGTTATGCTGAACTCAGAACTGCAGAATTTGAAAAAATAGTGCAACTATGCATGAGATCTCACGAACAAAAGGATTTTTGTAGCCGAAGCCCTGAGCCCCGAATCCCTACATCAACTACTTTCAATCTTACGACTAAGCCCCGAAAGGACGTCCCGTCTAGGGCGTCTAGCAGCCTCGTTTTTTGTTGCAGAAGGGGGGGTTAGGGTTTAGGGTTTCATCCGGTCCCAAATCTGGAGTGTAGCTCAACGGGTTTGAGTCTGAGGTTAGGCACCCTCGTTCAATGCTGGAGCCAGGTCTCCGAAAGACGCCCCCACCGCCAGAGAGACGTCGGGCTGCATCTGTCAAGAAGGCCAAAAAGATATCGTGTCCAGCGGTCCTTTGACGAGCTCCGATGCTTGTGGTTGTTGAGATGAACGATTCTAGGCCCCCCAACACACAGCAAGTGTCAATCATAATTAATCCATAATCCCTAGCTTTAAAGTCTAGTCTCAGCTTGCGGGCTCAATGAGAGTTGAAAGCTTATGGCTCGCACCCTAAACCCTAAACCCTAAATGCTCGCACCCTAAACCCTAAACCCTAAAAACCCTAAACCCTAAATCCTAAACCCTAAACCATAAAGCTGCAGGGTTGGACGCTTGCGGGGTTTCAGGCGAGGGGAAGGGCGAGGACATGCGAGTAGACAGTGTCTCGTAACATGGGAGTTTCCGAAAAATAGGGGACCCTAATGTAGTACCCCAAGTAGTAGGATCCTTATTATAAGGATCCCAAAATGAGGTACCCCTAATTTTTCGGAAACTCCCATATGGGTCGGGTCTGGTCGAGTGCTGACTTGAATCCCGTTGCGGCTTAGGGCTCATCGGGGTGAAGGGCGTTTTCCTCCTTGGTGCCCAGAGACTCCAATATCCCTTAATTAAGGAATATTCCTTAAGTTAGGACCCCTTATATGATTTAAGGTATATTCCTTAATTAAGGGATATTGGAGTCTCTGGGTGTTTGGTTTCGGGCTTTCGGATGCAATCATGGCCCAGCATCGCAGTGCGATCCGGGAACTTGACCCTGTTCCTGCTGAGCTGTTCCTCAGTGCACCGGAGCGCGAAGGACTCAAAAAAATGTCTTACTTCCACTCTCTTGGCCTCTGTACTTGGAGGTTCATGGGTAGTTATAAGTAGGGTTATAAGTAGGGTAACTATACTTATTACCCATATTAGTGGACTTCTAATCCTACTTACAACTACCCATGAACCTCCAAGTAGCTCTGCTATGCATTGGGCCTTAGGGTTCAGGGTTCCGAACCCTGCAGTGTTGTTAAACTCCTACATCCTGAACCCTCTAATTTACTCTAGGCCCCATCCCAAAGCCCCTAAACCCTAAACCCTAAACCCTAAACCCTAAACCCTAAACCCTAAATCCAAAGCCCACAGTTGTTCTTTAGCTCAAACCCTGCAGACACATGCGGTGAGAGACTACGACTTTCAATTCTCAGACTGGGCGTGCCAAAGCTGGCTCCTAAGAGCATCAACTGGGCTCAAGTTTTCGTGGCGTTCTTGTCCTGTATATATATATATATATATATATATATATATATATAAGGAGTACCGGCCGAGTTTCGACACAGTCGTGGATCTCTTTCTCTTGCATCTCGTCATTCTCGCAGAACAGGATGCGAAAGCTGCTGCTATCGCAGCGCATGGTCGGATCCCACTCCTGCACTCTTTGCCATAGTTGAGTAACATTTTACATTTTATGGGTACTTAGACTTAAACCCAATAAGGAATAAAAATGTACATGTGTATAATCCTCTCCCAACCATGAACTAGCACTGACCCTAAGACTCCAAAAAAGAGTTGTAGGGCGGTTGTTCAAAACCTGGTTTTTAAGGAATTAAGCTTAGCCCTAAACGGTAATAATCAAACGCAAAGGTCACACAAGCACCAGAGTACTGGTGCGCACGTGACCTACTACTTAGAATAGGGCTTTGAAGGAATACTCCTCTTCAACTCCGACACCCAAAAGCACATCCGAGAGTCGCTTAAGGCATCGCCTAGAGCAGCGCTGCCGAACAAGCGTTCAAGACGTCGCGTTGCGCCAAACCAGCAAAGGTCCAAGCCTGGGAGGTCGGGGTTTCATAAGGTACAGGGGTTTAGGGTTTAGCGTTTAGGATTTAGGATACCAGGGGGTGATATGGGATTTATCGTTGGCAAGTCAGGGTTTATAGGGTGCCTTTGCAAGCGTTCAAGGGTCTTTGAATTAGTGTCCTTCTTGATGGCCTTTTGTATAAGCATCTTGCTGTCCAGGGTCTACACTGGGGTCCTCGGCTTTCTTACATCATAAACTGGGTCGTCTCTAACTTTGCAAAGAATGACAAGAAATCATGTCGAGTGGCACCTCGAGTGAAGGCCTGTGGGGGTTTAGGGGTTCAGGGTTTTGTTGAAGCGTTGAGGGTTTTCCCTGCCGTACGAAATCTGACAAGTGGCAAACAATGCTTTCACCATTACGTTGTGTAATGCCTGGAATACTAGTATTTTTAGCTCCACGCAAGTCAAGAAGACCGCAGCATCACATGACGACGGAGAGCAAATGCGCCGCTGTGGTCTTGCTGTTCTGGACTGGCAATAGATGTCTCTTCTTTCAGCTGTCAGCCTTGCTCACTCGATACATGGTGTGTCGGCTGCCTTCTCTGTACTGTACATTGCTTTGACATCACCCCGCAACTCTGTTTAGGACATGTTCTGCTGCTTCCTGTTTTGACGGTTTAGGGTTTCTTGGCTTAACCTAAATCCTGAACCCTAAATCCGCCAAGAGGCTCAAACTCTCTATGAACATGTGCAGTCGAGGCTGGCCGTCCTGTAGAGTTTCTCGGAGACTTCAGCCGTGCTTACAGTTTGGAGTTTTGGCTTCAGAGCGAAACTTCAGATGCTTTTCCTCAGCTTAGGGATCCAGCTTGGGGGAAAAGCCGCAGTTGCTTCAGGGTATATGCATCCCAGGGTCTCAATAGAAACGCCTTCGGGTCTCGGGTTACGGACGGGTATTCTTTTGGCGGAACTACTGGTAGCGATATTCCGCAGGTTCTTGTTGGGCTGAACAGCTACCACATGGGTCAGGCGAAGGTCGGCATGCCTGGGTGGTTTAAGGCCCGATGTTTGAGATCTGTGCTGAGATGCTGAAGCCTGCGTCGTGCAAGGGAGACATACAGACATACACATATATCCTGATACCAGGCCCAGTCGGGCCCTGCAGAAGACGTAGAGGTGGATTGCAGTAGATCATACGGGAAAACGGCAACACGGAGGAACAGGCAGATTGAGGGCAAACTATTGGGCAAAACGATGACAAATTACTCTCAACTTGCGTATGACACGACTTACGCTTACCCGGACACCTTCAAGCCTAAGTGGCCTCAACCCCTACATCCTGAAGCTTTTCTACTCGCGGAAACCGTAAACCCTAAACCCTGAACCCTAAATCCTAAACCCCTAAACCCCTAAACCTCAACCCTGACCTAAACCCTCCCTAAACCGCAGTCCTCCAGTGCCAAGGTGGTGACGATCTGCAGAAAAAGAGCCGGGCTCAGCTCGTTCAGCTCCTTGAGTTTTGCTTAGGGCCTGTTGAAAGAGGCGTTTACGGGTTTAGGGCTTACTGGGTTTATAGGGCTCCAGGATCAAGGAACTAAGCAAGCAGAGTTCACAAGGTCTCTATCTGTCTATCTGTCTATCTATCTATCTATCTGCAGCGTATAGTATGTGGGTTACAATTATACATGCTGACTACACCTGCAAGGGTAACTACTGGGTAACGATATTGAAGGTAGGTTCCAGCATACTTGCAACTACTTGTTATGAATATTCAAGCCGTGTTGAAGGGTTGAGTCAGAAGTTAGATTGAGTTCAGGTAAACCCTAAACCCTAAACCCTGTTGGGGGCCGTCAAGGTTTGGAGTTTCAGGGCTCCGGTTGAGGGCGTGAGAGTTTCGGTCCACTGGCCCGAAACCGATACCTCACTGCAGCCTTGAAGCTTTTCTCGGACATCCTTAAGCCTACAAGCCCGCAGCCCTCGACCCTCTGCGCAGCATAAGCTCTGTCAGTGTTAGACCTAGAAGCCCTGCAACCTGTGCGGCCTCATGCCTCAACGGATAATGTGGAGGCTTTACTAACTTTGAATATGGTATCGGGATAGCTTTTTAGGGAGCATAAGTGCCCAATTAGTAGTACTTCGGGATAGCCCTACCCGTATATTGTTCGGGTTTGTTCAGTTGCTCCTGTCTGTGTAGAGCGCGATGAGGAGACTTCGAATTGAATTGAGCTTGGGGTGTCGGTTCACGCAACTGGCCGGGGCAAACGTTTAGAGTTTAGGGCTCTTCTTGAAGCACGAACCCAAACCACTAAAGCTCTCTTTTCTGCGGCCCGAAGCCGTACATCTCCTATCTACACTCTCATCTACCTCTCGATGCCCATGAAGAAAGATGACAAGGTCGGTTTTTCTCTGCTGAGTAAGTCCGTTTCAGGGTTCAGGGGATCGGATTTTAAGGTTTAGAGTTTAGGGCTTCGGATGTAAGGTTCATGGGTTCAGGATTTGAGGCTTAGGATGGGTCTAGGGTGAGGGTTTAGGGCGCAACCTCGCGCCCCTAGACCTTGAACCCCAATGAAACGCTCCCCCAAAGGCTCCTTAACCCAGTCGTCGAACCAGACGGACGTCCTGTACTCCTGCGAGACCAGGATAAGGGCAAAGAGCTTGACTGGACACCCAAACCGCCCATGTCGCTTGTTCCCCCCTTTGGATCAAGTATCAAGGACTACGGTCCAGGCTGTGGGGCTCCAAACAGGAGGATCAATACATGGTAAAGGGCTAGGGTTCGAGTATAGACGGTAATGTAGGAACCTGATTAAGAAACCCTGGGCCTATAACCCCAAAATAGTAGGATTCATTTACGGAACCTAATAAAGGCCCAAGGTTTCTTAATCGGGTTCCTACATTATAATAGTGGTTCGGGCTTTGGGAAACAGCACTGGCCCCTCCTGTGCATAGTGTGGCAGCAAAGGAACTGGTGCCCCGGCATGCTGAACTCTACAAAACAACCTGAGCTTCAACTGTAAACCCTAAACCCCTAAAGCCATAAGCCCTAGATCCGAAGCCCCAAAAACCCTAAACAATAAACGCTAACAGCCCTAAACTCTGAGCCTAAACTCTACATGAAAGCTTTAGGAACCGGCTTTGGAAGACTTGCGCATGGCTTGCATGGGTGCCCCAGGGCTCACGGATACGGTTCGATCGTCGAGGGGTTCGGGGCTAGTATACCCGAGCTCATGTTTTAGGGTTCAGGGTCTAGGTTTAGGGTTCAGGGCTATATAGGGTAGACTATGGTAGAGTATGCCACAACTACAGAAAGACTCTCCAGCTTGGTGTTTTATTTATGTAGGGTCCGGCTGCTAAGCTGTTGATCTGAAGCCCCAAGCCCGT